CTTTTTAGATCACTTATATATCCTTAAAGGCATAAATACGTCTGGTGTTAATAAGATACTTTCTGCCATTGCAATAAGAACCAGAAAACATAAATGCTACTTCTCAATTTTGTGAGGTCCCACTATGCCGATGGACGTCTACTCTCGACCTTAGTAAATGGTTGTCAAGTCAAAATACGTATTAGAAAATGAATTGCTCTAAAGAACGGTAAATAATGCATTGTATATTAACATAATTTTAACTGAATTTAAAATAATGTACAGCAACTGGTGTGATAGGCCACATTTTGGTATATGCACATACACAACTTATGAATTTAATGCAAATATATACAACAATACATGATACCATCATAGCGTAAAATTCAATATTTAGGCATTGGAAAAATGGACACTATACAAACAATGTAGTATCACATTGCATAGCAATATATTGCAGCGGACATTAATATTATAATGCATATACAACTAAAGCTGGAATACCGATGCTATAGCTAATGATTCCCACACAGATTTAGGCATTGCTGTTGAGGGAGGGGCATATGAAATAGATGTGGCTGTTTCAATTGTCACTTTTTTTTAGTTCAGGTGAGTAAATCAGTCGAAGGGGAACGGCTGTTTGACAATTATTGAACGATATCAGATCATTGATATACCTAAAGCTTAAGTTAATCTTCCTTCTCAATTTGCCAATCCGAGCAGAAATTCAAATGCATATGGAAACAGGCAAACAAGGAGGTGAGCACGACTGGTGCCCAGGGAGATGCCTAAATCCTACTTAACTGTCTTATTCCCGAATTGCATATGGATGTTATCTATGAGGAAGTCCAGCACTGAACATATTGTTTTCTCAGTAAACTATAGATGACATTGCTTTCAGTTTTGACAATTTTTATTAATGAAGTGCAAAGAGGAATGAGATAGATCTTAAACCATACATTGCCTAATAAGATAAATGAATTTCGACAATATGTGGTCATATTTCTTCTTTCTAGTAACATGAACAAGAGACCACTGTAACTGATATATTCTGTATAGTTTGGATATGCATAAAATGTTACAGAGGTCGATAAAACGACTAGTTCACGTGATCGCATGATTGACATGAAAAATGAAGCTTTCATAATTGAATAATACATCATAATTACTTTTAACCTTACTTGAATAGGACCACCCAACATGTATCCGGTATGATTGTTTGTTTGTTTGTTTGTTGTTTAACGCCGCACTCAGCAATATTGCAGTATATGACGGCGGTCTGTAAATAATCGAGTCTGGACCAGACAATCCAGTGATTAATATCATGAGCATCGATCCACGCAATTGGGATCGATGACATGCATCAACCAAGTCAGCGAGCCTGACCACCCGATCCCGTTAGTCGTCTTTTACGACAATTATCCGGTATAAACGAAATGTGGTCAAGGGGAGTCTATAGGACTGTATGGAGAATAGATTGCAGTGACACCTGTCATTCGTCCATATACATTTGGCCTACGATACGTTGACCTAACAGTTACTTCACTTTGATATAAATTGGATGAATGAATGACACAATCATCCCATCCTGGACACCAATTAAAAAAGAAATAACGAAATAACTGAAGAGAAAACACATAAGAAATAATTGGAGAGAATGTTATATACTTTGTCTTACTTTGTTTTTCAGTGGGTGAAAAAATATTTGTACATGTATACACTCAATTCATTGGTTTACAGGTTTTGTATTAACAACAAGCTTAGTATCATTTATCATACAAAACTGGCTCCCACAGGAGATATCGCTTGGGAGAGATCAGGCAATATCTACATTGTAGATATCGCTGCAATGAAATTGCGTCACAATGCTTTGCAGACCATTGTGACGTCATTGGTTACCCTGACGTCAAAATCAAATGACATCGCTTATGGTTCTACTACTGAAGCTGTTAGCAGTACATTTTCACTTAAGACACTGCTGATTACTACCTTCAAACTGAACAAGTTGGAGGATGATGTTGGATGATAAATAAAATCTCACTCTTTTCTCTTTTGATATCAAATATATCAACACTCGTTGATATATTTCATTTCAATAGACACTCGGGTGAGATTCTCTATATGTTTCTCATAAGAATTATTGGATTTAAGCAGTCTCAGGGATTCTTTCGGCATATTCAGGGTAACGTTTTGTCCCCACAGTTTTTAAAGAAAAACTATGACTGGGCCCATGTCTTCTTCTTTGATCTCACAATATATGGGACCCGACGCTCGTGAATTTGTCACACTATCACTGTGTTTCATTAATGCATTCTGGCGGTTGTGTCTTACGGTCAGTGCATGGCTTCTCTGATGCCCCTCATAATTTGTGCGTAGCATTCTGCAGACAACAAGAAATAACCATAGTTGCATAAAGTCGAGTACTGGTCATCTACAAATAAATATAATTCTCATCAATTACTCAACTTTAAAATTTACCTGTATTTATACTTCAGTGAATGAATATATGTTTGAGATTTACTTTTCCTTGACAGAGACATATGCACACTTTCTTTGTTATAAACGATAGACAGTATCACTGATAAAACTAACCTTTTGCGACAGTATATGCAGATAATTACCACAATACCGATGAGAATTAGCACAATGGCGGTCGATAATACAATGATGATCAGGGTGCCTTGGGTCGAACGTTCTGTTGCAAGAAAACGCATTGAGAATATATAGAACTTAAACCAGCCACAATATTATAAATCAGTGTTTGCATAATTTCCCTCGAGACTTTACTAATACTTGGGCTGTTATAGGTGTCGAGTTCGCCAAATTCAATTGTTTCTATTCATCAGTAATGATCAAACATTCTTGGGAATATTATAATAACACATCAGGAAACAGCATTAGCAAAACTCGAAAAACTCGATTTACCTCAGATTGTTAAAATAGGTGAGGTAGCTAACCCTAACTCACAACTGTCCACAAGAATTGTAAAAAGATGATTCGATCGTAATGGGGTATCTGATCCTAATTATCATATTTGGGGGTGGGGGGGGGGGGGGGTCGCTTAATTCTGTTCATCATAAATCGTTGCAAATTAGAGCTATAAAGATTAACCAAAATGTTGCTTGAATTCAGTTTAAACTTCCATAAATGATTATTCTCATACAGTGGATATATTTTCTGTTACATATACCATTGCATAACATGGATTACATGAATGTAGGGAACATCAACCAGATTAAAGTTTTTAAAACATTGAGATGTTTAATGTAACAAACCATCAGATATGATCTTCAGAGAAAGAGACTATTCCTTCACTTGAAGCATTAGTTGTGTAGCTACCAGAATGTGCAGCAGAGGGCAGCCGTACATATTACGTAATTATGAATTGAGCGTGTACGCCAATATTTCATCTGCCGTGTCACAAATATGATTAAACTATTACATATATTACTATCTGAAACAACCTAAAGATTTGGTAATTTGTCCAAGTTTTATGTCTCAAAAGCAAGTGTCACAGGAATACAATTGTTTTGGAAGTGATTTTCTGCTTGTGAAAGTTTGACCTCTAGAAGTAATAATTGCAGTAAACAAGAAGGGTCTCTCTGACTCCGAAGCCAAGGTAATAAATGGTTGACATATTCAGTAAATTGTAAATATAACTGGTTTAAATAATGTGCTTACAACATGACTGTTACCCATGTAGCTTCCGATAGTGCGTTTCCACCTTCTGATCTACTATATATCAGCAAGTATTATAACTCTAATATATTCATTCAGAAAAACAGGCATGCTTCTTTCTGTTCAATTATAAAAATATATATTTCACTAATTCAAGTGAAACACGACGTTACTGACATGTTGTTGATGTGTATGAAACCCTGCATATGGATATCAAACAATACAGTGGCAAGCAACACATAGATAAGTTACACTAGAATGGTGGAAGAATGGTTGTGGAACAACGTTTGCCATTTAAATGTTACTACATGTTTTTTTCAGTACATCAGCAAACTCTACAATAACACCTTACGATCGCGATCATAGCGCTAAGTGAGCTATGATTAATAAGAGGTCACATACAGTATCATTTGTTTACCTTTGTCGTTGTTGCCGGGTCCAGCCTCTGTTGTCATGCCATTCTCTGCAGAAAAGTTATGTATACAGTTATATTCACATCTCTCGCCACTATAATTGATCTGGCATCCATTTACACACGATCCATTGTCCTGATCGCACATACAACCAAGGCATGTTTCACACGCGTGATTACACATCTCTCCGTAAAATCCACTAATACATCCATTCAAGCAAGAGCCGTTCCTAGATTGACATTGCAGACTTTCTGACCAGGGTGTGCATTCTTCATCCAAATGAGAAGACACGCATCCTTCCATGGATGAATCTGTAGTGTTAGTCGTGGAATGTCTACAGTGTGGATTACAATGGAAGGTACATTGTGGACCATACCAACCCTTCCTGCAACCATAGATACAATCACCAGTATTTCTATGACAATGAGGTGTACAGTTGGAGGAACGTTGTGTATCAGCAGACAAACATTCCTTTGCAGAAATGGCATGGTCGGAAAGACAGTTGTCACTGCACTCATCGCCACAAAGAGGTCCATAAAATCCAGGTTTACAGCCTGCTGTACATCCATTGATATAGGGTCTTAGGCAGTTTTTGGATGATTGTTCACATGTTGGACCAACATACGGCTGTTGACACTCCTCACAAGTTCCTGTTATCCTGTTGCAGGACTTACATCTCCTGGAACAGTACTTGCAGTCAGAACCATAGTAAGAGTCATAGCAACCAGAAAAACAAAATAAGCCAATGTTGCAATACCCCTGGTTACATCCGTCCTGACACTGCGTACAGGTTCTTCTAGGAGGAATACACTGACTATTGCACTTCAATCCACGATACCCTGGTTTACACCCTTCGCTACATTTTTCAGCGCCTGTCTTTGTTTCGATCCCACATAAGTTATTTTTGCAGCCGGAACTGCACATAGTAGTGCATCTCCTGTCAAAGTACCCACCATCGCACCGGTCGAGGCAGTGTCCTGTCTTTGGATCACAGTCGGAACAGTGCTGATTGTCATTGCACGGTGCAGCTGCAACATGAAACGTTTCAAAGATTGAGACAGTGAAAATAGTGAAGGTAAAGGTAGCTTTGCACTATTCCTATATCCCTCAATAATAGGGGGGTTACATGTGCAATATAAGCATTCATCCGCAATATTTTTGTATATAACGTTTGATCATTTGGTAACTCATAGAATCACAATACAATCATAACTTTTTCTAAACGATAACCTACAATTGTCATAAAAATAGTGATTGTATTTTAGATATAAGTATACATATACGACTGTAGAGTATGTGTACAGGTCTCAAGACAGTTATTTAAGCCTAAGTCATATATGTCATAATTACAAAATACTTACCTTGCACTGAATGAAACAAAACAATTGTCCATAATAACATAAGCACTGTCATGATTACCTGCAAAGAGACATATCAAAATATGGTTACTCCTTAACTGAAATGAAAGATCTAAAGACTTCTTAAAATAACCTGCATATTTTTCTTCATCTCGTAGACCCAAAGGAAATGTTATGCATTTAAGCCTTTAAGAAATTAGAACATCGTCATTTTAAAAAAACACATAAAAAGATACTTGATAAGCTGCATTCAATAAATCTTTCCCTTTACAAGATACTTGATATAACACACAAAATTTATGTTTCGGTGGTACAGAACTTACCATCGAAGTCGTTGTAGCCCGATAAAAACTAATGAGCCCGGGGGAATGAAACGGAGCAGCTTGTATTCATTCATTTGTAAATCGTCAAATGACACCATGTCCGTCTCTTGCGGAAGTCATCGTTTATTTGTGTTGATGAGAGTTGTTGTTCAGTTTACAAGGAAACCTATTATCCCGGACTGTTATAGGAATGTGTGAAAATGGTGTGAGGTGGTTTCAGTTCACTGATCGTTTTAACTCCAACTGCATGACAAAACTGACAATGACTTACACTTCAATTCCTTGACCCTGTATTTCTAATTGTCTTTATGGTGACAACACGTTTATTAAAATATGACTTTATTATATGATCAGAAAACGCGCCTATTATAAGCAACAGATCTTAATCAAAATCAATAATTATTCATACACAATAAATTATCAAACTATAGGCAATATTTAATTTCAATGACAAAATCCTTACAGGTCAACTACATTTCGAAGATGACAATGATTATTCTGGTCTGTATGAAATAGGCTCCTTGATAATACATTTTATTGCAAAAGTTGTGTTTGTTTACTTCTGAAATTATTGCCCCCTCCCGACAATGAATAAAATGATAAACGGAAACATTTAAACAGATTTAACTGCACATGCATACACGAAGAACTAAAAAATGGTATTAAACGCCCTGATTAAATAACCAATACGAATTAATAGCTTGGTTAGTCACCATTATTTCATTTTTCTTCAATCATGGTTATATTCAATGGTGTTTAGAATATATGTACCAAACAAAAGAAGGAGAGTTTGTGGCCACTGGCACGCGGACAAACGACCCACAGAAATAAATAGTTGAAAAAAGATTTATTTCTCGGAAAATAATATATGTTTGACAGGAATTTTAAAGCCAAAAACATATACAGTTAAGATAATACACGATGCGATCCTCTGGGGTAGAACAATAGCACAAACAAATAGTCCCGTCCCCGATGACATTAAACATTGTTTATTAAAGTTGTATTGTCACGTGGGGATTCCCAGAGGGAAATGAAAGTGGTCCAAAGCAACAACAAAAACTCTGCTAATTGTTGTACGAGTTTTTGTTGTACGTATTTATTTCATATCCGAACCACATAAATATTATATCAAATTGATTTGTATGCTGATGCATAACGTAAAAACATTCGATACGAAAAATAGTTTGCAATAAATGAAGTCAAAAGACGCCAGTGAAGTATACACACGCAGAAAGAAAAGGGGCATAACTCCTCCCCTCTTAGAACTAATATACTCAACAACAAAAGTTCCTGTGACATTAGTTTATTTTTCAAACAAGTAAACTTTCAAGTGGCTTTCAGTATTGTAGTACATGTATCGAGTCAAGTCACAAAAACGCAACTACTACAGAAAAGCATGCATTCCATGCAAAAGTTGACTTGTATACAACTTGTATCCTCGGAGTGGCAGGTCACGCGTAACCAATAATCGGACCATACGAAATCGATTCCAGCCAGCAACAGTGACTGCAAGAAGCATTCCTGGCCTTCGACGAATATCTTCACAAACCGTACGTCGTCGCCTCAGATGTGCAGGGATTGTCGCCAGAAGGCCCGCCAGACGTCCTATTTTGAAAGGAAACCACCGTCAAGTAAGTCTTCAGTGGTGCAGACAGCGTCCACGCTGGACGGCCATGCAGTGGGGACAAGTTCTATTCACTAACGAGTCTCGTTTTCACCTCAGCCACAGCGATGGACGGATTCGAGTGTATCGACGTCGAGGTGAACTTTACGTCAATCATTGTGTCATGGAAGAAGATCGGTTCGTGGGCGGCAGCGTTAAGATATGGGCGTGGGATTACGGCAAGACAGAGGACCTTCACCTCAAATAAAGTACCAAATATGTATAACAAGGTTAAGGTATGACACCACTACCGGTGACCGACTTGACGAGTTCACTGACAACAGTACTCGAGTTTCTTGTGGATTTTTGTTGACAGAGTGATAGTGTATATATAAATGTGTCGCGTATGCAATCAGGAATAATTTGACAATCTGTGTACTTTTATGTTTTCAAATGCAACCAAAGTAATTAGTCAGATATGCAGATAAATACCGCCATCGTTGTGCATGACACAGAACGGACAAAATCAGTGTGATGTATTTATTTAAATTCCCTAATTCTTGCTACGATATCCTTCCCATAAACATGAATAGAATTCTCAAAATAGGAGAATATACCTCACAATGTAAAATCTGAATTTTCCTTTGTTTACATTTCAAACAAGTACAGTTTTCGGAGTGCAGTTTTCGTTTTCACACATTATTTATGCCGCTGTATCGCAGCTGAGTGTGAAATATATGTAACCGGCAAACACTATACAACATGGCGGATAATTCACTTTGGTATGCGTATTTTCCCTTGTGTATCGTTATTCAATGGGTGATCTGGGATGAGTGTGACTGGGTCGAAAAATCAGTCTAGTCACGGCCTGACACCACATCGCCCCCTCGCTTTAATTGTCCGGCTTCCGTCACCTTTCGGCTAAGTCCGGCACTCATCGTTGTCCAGTGTTTTTGCACTCCTCGTAATACCCCCATTCCACAGAGAAGTTTAGCTCATCGGTCACTCATCGGAAGCAAAGTTTTTTTACTTCCGGTAACCCACCGAAGAGTATCGTATCACACTCCGATGAATCCGATTGGTGTTTGTCGACTATCAGGTCAGTGTCCGACGTGTCGGGCGTGATCCGATGAGGCGAAATCGTCCGATGAAAGAACTAAGCTCAGAGCTTAGTTCGCCATCGGGCGCCATTTCCTGTTGCAAATCGAGTCAGTGTCCGAAGATGGTTTACATGGAAGATTTTACTGTTTTCATAATGACATTACAGAATGTAGAGAGTTTCTTCATAACATTTATTTTTTTATGATTAAAAAGTTCTTTATATTTAAACATAGTTGGGTTTTTAGCATATGAAAATGGAACACATATTTTCCGTTGGGGTCAAACAAAAATATAACGGAATTCATCACCAGTTTAAACGTTCGTTCTTTGATTTGTATTATGTCATTTGCGGTTTCGGAAATCACTTTCATATTTTAAACCTAAAAGTCCCATGGTTGTATCTTGTTTTGCAACAAAGCTTTTAGTGTTTGAATTGTCTTATTTCTGGTTTCAGAAAACACTTTCTTACTGCTGTAAGCCATAGATCTGAAAGTCCTATTGTTCCATCCCACTTTTAAAAAACACAGTTGATGGCACTATGTAACTTCATGTTTCTGAAAACACTTCCTGATTTAATTAGAAGAAACGCTATGGTAGTAGCTTAGTTCAACTTAGTGTTGAGTACTTCTGATTTTCATTTTGTCAGCTGTGGTTTCAGAAAGTAAGGGGTTGACTATATTAGAACTTCAAAGGAGAACGTATTATGGCTGTAGCTTACTTTGTAACTTAGTTATTAGTACTTCCTGTCACTCTGTCACTCTGTCTTTAACAACCAAAAAAACATACGTTTACAGTAATAGATTTTCAAAAGGATATATAAAAAAGTACCAAAGTTATTTCCCATATTATATTGATGCTTTGTCTTTGTGTTGAAAGAAGAATCAATCAAATCAGTTCGAAAACATATTTCTCTGCATCGACGGAGGGACATCTGTTAAGTCAAACAACAATCTTTGTAGCATTTTATTTGACGCTTCATTTCTGTGGCACCACCAGTCGAAATTGATTAGCATGTAATGATGGTGTCACATGCCAAATATTGAAGCTATTTGACCGAAAGCTATTGATATATATCATGTTTCATTCCGACTTTATGAATTAATGCATTCAGTTATTCAACCCAAAATGGCCCCAAAACACGAACGCACAGCTGTAACACAGCAGAGAGGTCGCGTGGTCATTGTTATATGACAGTTAATTTTATTGTTTAACAATTGTCACATTATTTCTTTTGAGATTCGGTAGACGTTCATTGCATTGTGTTTGGACAGTGATCAGTCGTCAGGGGGTTACTATATTAAGATGCTATTGTGGTGTGTAAACTTCCGGTTCGGTATACCACGGGCGAGGATAGTATGTTATAGAAACATACAGAATGTTCTATGTTGTGAGGGCACTATGTGGAACTTTCGAGTAGCTGGTTAGACTATATGAGGGGACAAGAACGTGTTTACGGATCTCTCACGCATTTTCATCACATTAAAACCAGCTTTCATGTGAGGATCTCATCCTCATCCTCCCTGATTCTATGCCTAGCCCCTCACGGAAGTTTGACCACTGTCGCCGCTGGGTGAATACATATTATTATCACTGACTTTTGCTATCACCACTGTATTTGTGTATTTGATACTGACCACTGTCATCATATTTTATAATGCCATTGGATATTGTACTACCACTCCGTTGGGTACTGTCATTGTAATTGATCTTTGGGACTCATGTATTTGAGTAGGGTATACATATCTATTTTGAGTTTGCTATTCACATAATTTCTGTTTTTGTATTGATAGGATTTCTGTTTTCGTATATTGATATAATTTCATTTTTATCTTTGGTTGCTCTGTTTATATACTTTCAAGTAGCTGCCAATCTCTCAGATATAGAGTTAGTTTTGCCTTGGCTCTTGCATCTCTTGGCTTTAGCACATCTACGACAGATAGCGGATCTAACTGCAATTCTTGTTTTAACCGAGCCCGGGCTTGGGCGTGGTCTTGACGTTCCAGTAACAAGATGGACAAACCTTGTCATAGTGCTTTTGGCGTCTGAGGCGTGAGATGGCAATTTCAACATTCCTTTTATTTGAGTATGAGTTTGGCTTTTGGTGGATCTTGGGTTTAATTTTGTATAGCCATCTGCCGATCCTACTTGCGTCCCACTGGGCTTGCCATCTTTGGGCTATGGAGGCTTTGATTTTGCTTTTTATATCTAGTTTACTAAAGGGAATAGGCTGTATCTCCGCTTTGTCTAGAGCTAGTGTGTCCCCTAGCTGTCCCCAGTGTGTCTGCTTTTTTTATTTCCATGAATGTGTATGTGAGAGCGGATCCAACACAGCTCCACCTGTTGCCCTTGGTCCTATATTTTTGTATATTCGTATAGAATATTATTGACTGTGTTTGGCCTGGAGTTTGCGTTTCTGCCGCTGATGGCTTGAAGTGCACTTAGCGAGTCTGATAGGACGACTGCCTTTGCTTCCGGTAGTTCCGGTATGAGTCTGAGTGCATGATGAATTGCTGCTAATTCAGCAGTGAACACTGACTGACCATAAGGCAGGCGAACCAAATGTGCTTGGGGTTTGCAGCTGTGGATATGCATCCCGTAACCAGCACTGTTGTTGATAGAATTCTTGGATCCATCAGTGTATATATGGGCCCAGCTGTCCCAGGTAGATTGAATTTTAGTGATAGTTAGTGATCGTAGTAGGGTTGCGTTTTCTTTTTTAGTGACTTCTAATGTTAAAGCAGCGTCAACTTTGGCAGTTTTTTTTTAATCCAGGGAGGGTGTAACCCTTTGTGGTGACTTTCTGGTTGAGTTCTCATTCTAATATCACATATGGCTTATGTGAGGGATTTTTCCGAGCTAGGGCTTCATCTCGGGTGTTTTTGTCTGCTCTCTTCTTAGTTGCAATGGGAGTTCTCCTGTTTCTACTTGTAGTGCTTCTAGTGAAGTGCATGTTGCTGCACCTGTGGCCAGCATTAGGGCTTCGTATTGTATTCTGATGCTGAGTGAAAGTCCTCACAACCATAGTATATTTTTCATCTGATAAGTGATTCGTAGAGGTCCAGCTGAGTATCCCTTGATGTGCCCCAAGATGTGCCTGAAATTGCCTGTAATACGTTCAGGTCTTTTTGGCATCTGTTTTCCACTTATTCTATATGTTTGCACCAAGTGAGGTGTTGATCAAGGATCACCCCTAAGAAATATTGCGGATTTTTCGAATTTGATTGGTTAGCCTTTTATGGAGACACGGGGTATCATAGCATCTTTCCCCCTGCGTTTGAATAGAACTCCCACAGTTTTTTTCACTTGAAAGGGTAAACCCCCATTTATTGCACCATTGATCTACTCCGTCCAGGGCTGACTGGAGTTTTTTTTCTCGGATTTGTGAAATATATCTGTACTTTACCCATATTGCTCTGTATTGGTATTGTATTGGTATTGTCTTTTTAATTGAGGTTTTTTTCCAGTCTTAGGATATGATCTAGACATGAGTGTCCCTTCCTGAAGCCGCTTTGGTCAGGTTTGATGTGGTTGCCAGTTTCAAGGTGATGCATGAGCCTTTTTGTAACCAGGGCTTCCATAGCTTTGCACATGTTTGAAGTGAGTGAGATCGGTCGATGAGAGTTCGGTAGGGCTTCGTCTTTCCCTTGCTTTAGAAATGGGACAACTGCAGCATGTTTGACCATATCGTGTTATACATACAACTCAGTGAGTAAGCTTTTGGTTTGATCAGGCAGTTTTTTCAATACTTCGTAACTGGTTGTGTCAAGACCAGTTGCTGTGCCTTTTCTATGGTGTATCGCATCATCAAACTCTATCACAGTAAATGGTATATTGTGTACTAGATGCTTGCTTTGCGGCTGTTTTGATATCTTAAGCATAAGCAATTTTTCCTGTTTGAATTCTTTGCTACATTTTTTGTTGCTGCTGACAGTTGAGAAGTGTTCAGCTAGAATGTTGGGCTTCTCTGTGGATGTATGGGCGTTGGCTAACTTGGGAATTTTTTAAAGGTTATGCTTACCCCTGTTCGCGTGTATCATGCTCCAGACTGTTTTAACATTTGTTTTATCATTGAGAGATCTGCAGATGACGCTTATTTAGAATCGTCTATGAGCTGTCTAACTTTTTTCCTCGCTGCTCGGACTTGGACGAAGGCTGATTTATCCCTTTTTTACCTATTTAGGGCTTTCTCTCTCACTCTCCTAGCTTTAACTATTTCCCTGTTCCACCATGGTACTGGAGTTTTGCCAGTTTGATGGTCTTTTTTTATTTAATTGATTTTTCAGTTGAGATTTTGGCAAACATTTCTGAGGATTTCAATGATATACATTCCTTCCTGAATTTAAGCTGGTCAACCTTTGCATAGTCCCATGTGGGATGAGGATTGGGCTGTTCCTCTAATTGTGGTGGACGACCTATGTAGGTGAGTATATGAAGGTGATCACTTCCCTAAGTGTCATGATGGACTTGCCATTCATGGTCATAAGGTGTGTAACTGCCATTGTTCAGAGTTATGAGATTGTCATCGTCGTCTTCAACCCATTTCTCTACCATTTTGCTGTATGGGCATGCATCGTTCCTGTCTTCTCATAGAAGACTGTGGGCATTTAAGTCACCAAGGATTATCCCATTTTGGCCAACTATTTGAGCTAGTCTCGTTGGCTCTTCCATGTTTGTTTCACAGGTAACCCTGTGGTATACGTTGGCTATGCACAATTCATTGCCATGTGCCAGTTTTAGGGAGATTACTTGGGTTTCAAGGTTTCCTACGTTTGATTCGATATTTTTGGAGGTACAGCTGTCGTGGACAAGGGTAAATAGTCCTCCTCCCTTGTTGCCAGCCATAAGTCTTTATTTTGTCTTTTCTATATTGGGTGTGGTAAGGTAGTATGATTTTGTCTTTTTCGCTGAGGTTAGTCTAAGAATGACATGCGGTTTTATCACCTGTTTTTTTACGAGTGCATTCAGTTCATTGCCGTGGCACTTAGGCCCATTTGAATTCCACTCTAATTAAAGCAAGATTGTTTAGATGAGTGCTTATTGACTTTTAGGACATACCCTATTTTCGAATTGTTCCTTTGTTCCTTTGTATTTCGGTATTTTGGAAGCCGGTTCGAGGATGCAGGTGGCTTTAGCTTTGGCACTCGTTTACCTGCTTGTATTTTGAGATAATTCCTTTCTTAACTTGTTCTACAAAGTAACATCTTACCCCTGAACTAAGCCACCTCAAACAAGTATGCACACAGTACAAAAACTACCCTGAGCAGCTAGTACAACCGACAATACAGAACATTACCAAGAAATCTCAGAAATCCCCCCATCAACAATTTGCATCGTCTGTGATCAGCCTCCCCTTCTTTGGAACAGTTAGCCACAAAATCCAGAGACTCTTAAAGAAACAGGCAAACATTCATGTAGTTTTCAAGAGAAGTCACACCATTCAGAACACAATTAAAGCCAAAGGAAACCACCATCCAGCCACAAACTAGAACCATCAGGAGCAGTGTACCACATTCCGTGCAATTCTGGACAGGTGTATATTGGAGAAATAACTGGACCCCTCAAAGCCCGAATTAAAGAACACCAAAGCCCAGTCTCCAAAGATGACTCTAAATCAGCTGTATCAGACCACATCCAAGCCAAAGCATCCATTGAGATAAAGTCAAAGCCCTCACCACCAACCCCAAAGGCTTCAAAATCAGAAAGCCATAAACATCAAAAGACTCCAACCACCAATCAACCAGGCCAAGGCTATTGCATACCCCTGGTGTACCATCAACGCCTCAAAGATCCCAATCAGTCAAAATCCTTTTGTTTAGATTACTGGCTTCACTCTTTTGTTAATATTACTGACTTCGCCGATCAATATGTTCACTTCCCTTTTTGTGTACATAATAGGCTTCTCTACACTTCTCCTTGTGTACCTTTAACATTAGAATATCCCCCTTGAGAGAAGACAATGGACCAGAGGAGACAATCCATCTGCTATGTGAGTGAGTGAGTGGGTATGGTTTTACGCCGCTTTTCGCAATATTCCAGCAATATCACGGCGGTGGACACCAGAAATGGGCCTCACATCCATCTGCTATGTAACTATAGAAACAGTATGGTGATATTTTAGACTGTGGAATATATCCAGATGAGCTACAATGCCTTGTCACTATTTTTGCAGGATTCAAGTCCTCATTGACTTATTCTTATTTTGTTTTACAGACACAATGCGGAATGGGCTTTACCATCCACCAGGTCATTTTTCTACTGGTCTGTGAACTACACAGTGAGTATTTCTATGCATGACATAAACAGTTTTTCCTTTCGTATAATGTAACGGAGGATACTTTTGAGCTGAGAAATGGCCATACCTATAATTAATGGGGAAAACATTTTTGTATAACATTGCGACAATGAAACAATGCGACATTTTGACCAATTATCTCTTTCTCGCCTTTTACCATTTACTATATTTCAAAAAATATCTTTTTAATTTCCATGGTAACAATTTGGACATAAACGATGGCAGGGTTGGTTTCCAGGCCATAACTTGAAAACCGTTCAGCATATTTCAACGAAACTTGGCCTATGAATGGCTCATCAGCTTAACAGGTGTCCTCTGCTGTTTTAAAATATTTCAATTTAAAATTGTATTTTGTTACGTTTCCATCGAAACAATTTGGACTAAGTCTTAAACATCTATAGGCTTCGTTTCCTGGCCATAACTCTCAAACTAATGAATATCTTTGCATAAAACAATTCATGTGCAATGACCACTGCTGAACTATTGCCATTTCATATTTTTCAATTCTTAATTTCTTTAATGTCTTGTGTTTCCATGGAAGCAATTTGGACTTAACCTCAAATAAGCAGCGTTTGTTTCCCGCAAAGCTTCTACAGTTAATGAATATTCCTGCGTGAGATCATTATCTTTCCAGCTTGTAATTTATGAGTATGCATTTACCTTTAGCTGAATTGGCTCATTTGGCTATTTTAAAATATTTTGACTTCCCACGTTTCCATATCAACAGCACTGTTCGCACTGAGTCTCCAATAATGGTAGCTGCATTAATCAGAATCCGGACTAGTATTTTTGGCCATTTTAGCTTTTCGGATTTACAAACACATTTATTGTCACAAAAGTAAGGATGAGGGGTCAGCTTTGGCCCAGTCGTGTTAACGGCGCAATGTGCCGGCAGTTGTTGCGTCCCCTTTGAAACCTGAGATGGTGGGTTCGAATCCCCAGTTCGCCCGGATTTTGTTTCTCGGTTTTTCAGCACCACTGCTTGCACGTTATGTCTGATATTTGAAACACATGTCTGCAAAATGCGAAATACAATTATAATTGTAATTTTAAAACTTTCGTCATAGTCAAGGTATTCGTTCCCTTGAATGATATTAAGTAGAAAGGGTGCCCAGTCGTCTCGGGCAATAGAGTGTGCAAAGTTCCCACGTCCCAAAATACCTATGATTGTGGGATCAAACCCCGGAATGGCCCTGATTATGTTTCTAGGTTTGTCAGCACCAAACGCGCTCGTGAGCCTGAGCAAAGTGGTAACCGTCTTGACTGCCTTGAAATGCGTTGAGCGATCGACATTTAACTAAACTCACTCACTCAGTCAAATCGATTATATCCTTTTTGATAAAGACGTGTAGGTAAAATACGATACGAATATTTTGTTTATACATGATGCATCAACCTTTAGATATTCGGTGTGACGATCACAGGTTTCTTGAACGCATAGGGGACGCATAATCCCAGGTTTGCCCTGATTTTATTTCTCAGTTTTGTTCAGCAAAGTACTCATGCGTTGTTACATTATCACCCTTTGTTAAATACCAAAAATATTCAAATCTCAACAATGCGACAGAATTATTGTCGCGTTGTCATGTTTTGTGTAATTTTGTCACCTGCTTGACAACGCAACAATATCCCATCCAGGACTCCATTCATATAAATGACCTATGAAGAAACAATAGTATCCTCTTCCAATGTGGCTCTGTCAGTACTCTGGGATTCAACACAGGCAACGCCAGAGAATAATCAGTCTCGATTATCTGCCCAAACAGATTCTATAGGGCGTAAAGTCAACAAAATAGTGATGAAAATAATATGCATGGATCACTGAAAATCAGTGGTTAAAACAGGTGTATGCATGTTTCACACCTCATTTGACTTATCAAATCGTACATACACATGCATGTACACAAAAGACTATTTTCATTATGGCATCTACTCGTTTGCCAACTCACATACTGTTAACCCTGAATACCAATCATTTTCAGCAATAGACGGGCAATCGAGTGTCTGTCCTCCATCTGTACCTGAAGAGTATTGTGACAGCAACTGTCCTCCACACTGTGCCCTTCTTGAGGATAAGCACTCATTCTGTGACAAAAAAACAAGAGAGTGTTTGGTTGGGTGTAAACCTGGCTGGTACGGTTCAAGTTGTCAGCATTCCTGTAGCAAGAACTGCTTCGCCAGAACATGTAACCAACATAATGGGTATTGCACATTCACCTGTCCAGCCCACTACAACGGAGATTTTTGTGAAGAACACATAATCAAGGCTACAGGTATTAACTTGAAATATATATTGCAAACCATACTTTTCAAATTGATCTTACAGTACTTGGCGACCGATGATTTGATATTTGGGCGTTTTTATTTATACTTTTTCCCCAAAATTACTCGGACAAATTGTTCGCTGGACATGCTTGATGTTTGAAAATATGAGTTGTTCTAAAAACATAAATCCAAGCTACAAATTTGTATTTGGTATAGAAGAGCTATTCTGATTACAAACTTCAACTGCAAACCTCACATATACATCATATTGTACTGTATATTTCACGCTGGTAAAGAAAAGGGTGACATCACGTGTTGCTTCAACATGTATATTACTTTGTTTCAGAGTCAACAAAAACTTATTTACTTCTACTTCTCGGATATCCGGTCCTCATATTTCCAACCGTCGTTTTCATGTACGTTATCTTACACTAGTAATTGTAAACATTTCTTTTAGCTATAACTTTCTTGAAATAGCTACCGGATTAGAATTGATACAGCTGGCATATTGCTGTGTGCGGCATTAAACAAGAAACATACAAACAAACAAAATGAGGTAGGCATGCATTAGTGGTGAAGCGCTCTGGCTGCCGTGGTGGCCGTGTATGAAGGTGTTCATAGTGTGTGCTGAATTAGATGGTTTTTCACCGGCAAACAGTCCTGCATGGATCTCAGTTTGTGGTATTGTATGTATTTACATATATCATTGAATATACCTACCTACCAGATACTATGCAAAAGGCCGATGCGCGAAGATTTCGTTCAGACATGCCAGCCCAAAACGAAATAACTGCCTGTATAGTAACGACCAATATTACTGATATAACGTGTATAAATGAGAGGCATATCCCCATATTTCAGTCAGTTCCATAATATAAACTCAGAAATGATTAATGTTTTCAGTGCTAGGATACACTTAGGTGCCATGGCATGCTGCCCGTTATGTTCCATCGTAGCTACTCACAGTAAAATAATTGAATACTCTCCGACATAATACTTACAGGTCTGGCAGTCACAACCACCAATCTAAGATCTATATAACATCATATGCACAGTTTCTTTTGGGGCCTAGTATAATGTCATACAGCTGAGATATTGCTAACTGCAGTGAAAAGCTACAATATCATCATATTTAATGTGATACATCCTCAATCAAAATTACAATTAACCGGATATTAAGTGACAAATGTCCTGTGGATCAAGGAAAGAAGGTTTTCCTAACGTTTGTCGTGTGAACTTGAACTTGGTCATTGTGTGAGACTTAAAACATTCAAGCATATCCTTAGAGTATTTTGAGGATCCATATGGCTTCTGATAGATTCAAGAGAACAGACAGCGTGATGATCCATTGCTGATATGATGTCATTATGGACCCATATAAGTGCTCTTTCTGTGCTTTTGATTTGTACACAGACTGATATATAGCGAATAGACAGTTCTCGTGGAGATGGTCAAACCGTCTCTTGGCAACCATCCTTTTTAGACATTTGGAGAAAAAGGACAGGATGGAGGGGGCCCTCGAGTTATTGCGGTCATCAAACCTTGGTTTCTTCAACAGTGGAGGCCCGCTTGAAAACGCTTGATACTCGACCGGAAACAACTGATGTGTTGGTATTGTATCCAGTGAAGAAGATTTGGTCTGTGTTGAAAGGATCAAATGCTTAGCCACTAAGGGATGGTTTCAAGTTCATTACGAATTGTTTCGATTTTAGTATGAAACAAATCAGCGAATCGATAAGCTATTTGAGCTGGATTGTTGTGCGCTGGACAATTATACTTTGTTTATGGTGTATATTACATGAATGGATCACCTAAAATCATGACACGACTGACGGTCTTCACACGAGTGGCGTATTAATTACAATGCATGTGACCTCGTCTCTAACAACTAACACTTCACAGAAGGACAAGGTTGAATTATCATTTGTAATTTACTTCTGTACAAGTTTATTATTTTATAGCATCCATGTATGATACCACTGTGGCAGTGAAATATAATGTCAACTAATTGTCGTTCAAGACCGGAATGTGTTTAAACTTTATCAAACACAAACACATCCGACGTTTTTAAAAGTTTTTGATTTGCATAGTTTGAAATAATAGAACTCAATACCTGCTAGCTTGTTTCTTACACCTCGTCCTTGTATACATTTCAGGGTGCTTTATTGTCGACAAAGGAGCGGTGAGTGTAAACCACATCATATGCGTTTATTATAAGTGGCAATGTATCTCTATATATACTTTAAAAAAAAGTATTACAAAGGTTGTTTCCGTATAAAGACCTTTTTTTTAAATTCATTTAGCCAGGACTTTTTTTAAAGAAAACGAAAAGTTTATCATCTTATCTCGTATCATCGTATAGAAATGAATATATGAGCAAAACAATTTCACTTCATATAATTACATGTTTTGCTAGTTAATAAGGGTTTTCAAATTTGCATAAACAGACCGCTCTACTTGCAAACAAAAGTTAATACCATATGTAAGTGAGCCGGGAAGCTTCGTAACTCCTGACAAATTGGCTTGCAATCAAATTTCAGTGGTGAGGCTCGGAAACTTGCTCATATATGTGCAAAATATCAATCAATGGTTGCCTAGTAACGACATGATTACTTACAGGTCTTGTTCATATAACATCGATAGGGATGGCTGCGGTTTTAAGCAAAAAAAACCACACAAATAATACTGGCCGATCTGAGTCGTTACTATTTGAAACTGTTTACAAATTGATTTACTTCAAATTAATATTTGTTAAATTTATCAACCCTTCAGTGTGTTGCAGAAATGTCAGTGATCTCCTTCATGTTGACTGATATATAGAACTGTTTAAAAGCAGGCATTTCATGTTCTATTTGGTTATCATGAGTTAATATTATGCCGAAATTTATTCTGGTATTCTTTTGAGGTTACTCTCTTGGAAAAGTTATAGTGAGTGAGTATGGTTTTACGCCGCTTTTAGCAATATTCCAGCAATATCACGGCGGGGGACACCAGAAATGGGCTTCACACATTGTACCCATGTCGGGAATCGAACCGGGGTCTTCGGCGTGACGAGCGAACGCTTTAACCACCAGGCTACCCGACCGCCCCCTGGAAAAGTTATAAATAAGTACAAGATTCCGTATATGTGATTTCAATCATACGGTCTACCTTTAGGTAAGTATAATGCTTGACTCAGTGGTGGGTAAGGGAAAGCAAGTGGCATTACCATACGCGGATATGTATGTATGTGTGTGTGCGCGCGTGTGCGTGCGTCATGCGTATGCATGTATGTAATAATATTACATGTACATTACAAGAACGGAATCTTGTAGAAGTGTGTCAAATTTATGGAAATAAGAAAGTTTATATAAACACTACTGTAAAGATATAAATATTATGACTTCATGCCGATGTGAAGCGACGACGAGTTTAATCAACAAGGCTACACAGTTCCCAAAAAACAGCATGAAAATTACTGTCAAGTGTGTAACGGCTGTGCTAAAATTTGGTTGATGTGAATGTGTTTGGGGATTACCTGTTTAGCTACGTCACTACACTGTAACGCTATAAGCTCATTATATGTTAAGGTGAGGTGAAATGGGGTTTATTTATTGCACTTATATAGCGACGTACATGCACGTGTGTGTGTGTGTGTGTGTGTGTGTGTGTGTGTGTGTGTGTGTGTGTGTGTGGTGTGTGTGTGTGTGTGTGTGTGTGTGTGTGTGTGTGTGTGTGTGTGTGTGTGGCTGCTTGTACTAGTCCGGACTAATGCCGATTTAAAGTCCTAGCACGCTGAGATACTATGCCGCTGTTTAACATGAATACCCCACTCAGACACAGTATACTGCCTCCGAGCCGACCACTCCTTGATTTAGCCCCTTTAATGCCAGATACCAGACAGGGTAATAACAAGTACCTTTTAACGTTTTTGTATGACGCGGCCGGGAATCGAACCCCGAACGCTCTACCACTAGACCACGGAGGCGGTCCATTACATGTTAATGATATCAGCGATGAACATGGCTGTGGGCTAAAATTGAGATTAAGAAATACATCGACATTTGGAAATTGTTATGTTTTCAGGAGTACTAGAGTGCTGAATTTCAACTAACAAATCTCGTTGACTTATACTAAAGCATATGCCAACCCTTATGACTTCATACTACAATATGTACTTTTGCGAATGATTCTGTTCTTGATGTCATTTTAATATTTCCGAAACCGCAGTATATCAAGCATGACATCTCTATTGTAAACTTTAACATATATTAAGGGAAACGAGGTTATAACGAGGTTTAAGCACCCAGGTCTGTTCCAAGTGTCGGTATCACATGTTGTAGCAAGTCTAATTACAGGGCAGTCATAATGCCCGTTTTACTGTACTAATATAAGTTCCCGTTTTCCTCAGGTATATCATGTGAGGCATACATAACGAATCGGTCTTTAGTGTGTACCTCCATAGTATTTGATCCATTCAGGTGTAAGAACTTACATCTGAAAGCCAGTGACAACATAGCAATTGGTTTGCATGTATTTGTTCTTCTTTAAACAATATCATAATCTCACATATGGTTTTGTAATCGTCCAGTTAGTTATAATATCAAAATGTTACAACTAACTATAAACTGATTTGTGATTAACAGAACTATTGCGTTTGAAACGACGGAGACGCCAAATACACTGATGGGTTTGTATGGCTTTTTTTTTCAAAATATACGTGGAGTAAAAGTGACAGCAAAACAAATAAAAATGGTTCTTTCTACTTCTGTGAGATTAGGGAAATTATATACCAAACGAGTAAAAGCAATGATCACATCGTAAACTTCCATTGAGTAAACCATGCTTACATTACCGTGTCGTGACATATAAGATCATTTGTAGGTGGGACAGAGAAGTCACAGAAGAAAAGTGAATACCTTTTCAGTCTTCTTTTGGGTAAGCAAATTTCTCAATGTGCTAGTCCACTATCCGCTTAGATAAAGGATAACGCATTCATTATCATGTCATTACATGAGTGATTCACATTTCATATTTCAGTCATCATCACTCCACTATTTGCCAATGAATGTCCACAATGTCTACACAACGACTGTGACAGCACTGGACTATGTATTAAAGGATGTAAAACGGGATTTGCAGATAAGTATTGTCAGTATGTTTGCCCGGAAACATGTCAACAGTCCAGATGTGAAGTGGGTGCTACGGGTGCGGTCGTGTGTAGTTTAGGTTGCATAGATGGATACCACGGTCCATGGTGTAACATCCCCTGTGCAGATGGGTATAAACATTGCTCTCTAAGTCAAAGTAACGGTTCAAGTGAATGCAAGACTAATCGGTATGGGAATCACTGCCAGCATTCGTGTGAAGATACATGTAGGGGGTTTGCTTGTGATGACCAAGGGTTGTGCTTGTCGACTTGTACTGGCGGCAGATTTGGAGCAAACTGCAGCCTAACTTGCAGAGAACATCAACAGTCATGCCAACAGAACAGCGGACACTGTGTGGCATGTAACTATGGATACTACGGTGATGTCTGTGAGAAGGCATGTCCCAGTTGTTTACCTGTCTGGGAAGACAAGGTTCAGAGATGCAAACCCGGATGCACCATATGCACCGAGGAAGATAAAGGTAATGTAATTGTGCACTGAATATCACACATAATTGTTTTAGTGGAATGAGGGTTAATAATGCAGTATAGTTTGAACACTTGTCATTTGAAATAATCAAAATAGCTATTTACGTCAAGGTTGACAGTTCACAGAGAAGCACTCATTTGTGTGTTGTAGGCAGCGTCAGTTTAAGCCATCAGTTAACATGTTAATCAAACGTGAAAGCCATAACCATTTTCAGTTTCAGCCTATCAGTGTTTCAATCTGACAAATGTAACAAACACTTTTCCATAATGATAAGAACTCCAAACAGAGTCCATTGGGCGATTCCGATCATATCATAAGCATGGGTTTATGAATCACTATCGCTTAGTGATTATACTAGGTATTGGCAAAAAGGTGGGCGTATCCTTCCCCATCGTTGCCAAGTGTTACAAACACGTGCAAATGCAATTCAAATGTTGACCTGAAACAATGTCGGCATACATGGACATGGTACAAGTCAAATAGGTAATAACATTGTACATCATTTTTGTCACTGAAGCGTAAAATTTGGAAATGTCCTTCATGTGTCTACCATACAACATTTTGATAGCTTTATTATGGCATTGAATGCTGTGGTCCTGATCAAACAACTTTTAGCAAAAGCCGCATGATGTTCTTTGAAGTTTTCGTGGAAAGGGCATGCTCGATTGTACTTCAAAAAGAAATGTAGACATCCAAGGCAGGAGCTGCTGGAGTAGTGCCTGCTTGACAGTAGACTATTGTAAAGTTAAAGTCCCTCATTTAACTTATAGTTTATTGCACATAGCTTCGTTTCAATGGAGATTCTTATCCCGTTATCCGGCTAGAGTGACCACTACCAAGTGAAGAGAGGTATGTATATATGCATGATATGTTGTGATAAGAACAGATTAACAACAGGTAATAGATAACAAGCAGCATACATTTATCTCTCTCCACTAAGTTGTCGTCACTCTATCTATATAACGGTGTAAAAATCTACATTGATACGTCGCGATATGCAAGATGTTATCAATAAAGTCGTTCGTTTTCTTATTTAAACACCACCAAAATGTGAGTACCCCATACAGTATTGTGGGTATTTTATTGTCACGTTCAATCTGTATGCACAGATATGAAACTGGTCTCTTTTATCTCAACCTCAGTTTGATAAACCAGTGGAAAGGAACCGGCAATCTGAAATACCTGAAGCTTAGTTTTGTTTTGACTTGGGTAATTTTGACTCGCATGCCTAAGCAATCAGATCAGCATGGAGGGGATAACATTTACTATCCATGGGGATGCCTTCTTCTTGCCTAAATCCTTTATTCACAAATTTCACATGGATGTTATATATGAGGAAGGCCAAAATTTCGTATACTGTTTTCTCAGAAGACATTTGCTTTCACCTGTAATATTGTCCGGAATCTTTGAAGGCACTGGTATAACTATACTCAGTAACAAAAATTCCTGTGACACCCCTTTCCAAAAGGTTGCATACAAGAAACACCTTTCTGGTGTTCACGTCGGATACATAAATATGAAAACATGTAGCACAAAAGCAACCTCAGCAGAAAAACATGATCTGATTACAAAAAGTGTCTTTCAAGCAGCAATCACGCAACTGATTATGTAAACCGGGATATTAAAGCCTGCGTGTTGTGGAGATTCGGTATGCGTTGTTTCTGCTTGCCTTGACAACTGCAACACGGGAAAACATCAAATTTCAATTATTATTTGAAGTTTGGAGATGCAACGCCCATCTGAAAATGACCGCTTGAGAGCAATTGGTATGCTCCAGTCAAGAACGTCGCAGCGTGAAGTTGCTAGGCGGTTGAACGTGCACAGAAACACCATTTTAACGTTATAGCAGCTGTGGCAGCAAACATACACTATCAGAGACCGATCAAGGAGCGGCAAGCCACCCGTTACGAGCGTCCGTCAAGATCGTTGGATTCGAACCACCCATCTGCGAAATCGGTTCCAGCCTGCAACATCACTGCGAGAATCATCCCTGGCCTTTGTCGAATATCGGCACAGACTGTACGTCACCGTCTTAGACGTTACTGGATTGTTGCGAAGAGACCAAACAAACGCCCAATTCTGACCAACAATCACAGCCGATTGTGTCTGCAGTGGTGTAGACAGCGAGTGCGTTGGACGGCAATTCAGTTGAGACAGTTTCTGTGCACCGACAAGTCTCGTTTTCACATCTCCCATGGCGATGGCCGAATTCAAGTACACCGACATCGCGGTGAACGTTACGCTCAAAGCTGTATTGTGAAGGAAGACCGTTACGGAGGATCATTGTAATGGTGTGGGGAGGAATCACCGAGAGACAGAACTCGTTAGCAAGTGATCCATGGCAAATTAAACGGGCAGCGTTACTGTGACGAGTTCATCCAGCCTTTTATTGTGCCGTTTTTTATTCAACATGGCCCTGGCATGATTTTTCAACATGACAACTCCCAACCCCATATAGCCCGGATTGTTCAACAAGCACTTGGACAGAACGACGTGAATGTGATCCCATGGCCTGCTCCCTCTCCGGATCTTTCTCCTATTGAACACATATGGAATGAAATGAACCGCCGTCTCCGACCTTAACCACGTACTCCGACTACAGTACAGGAACTGAGAGACAGGCTTGTGGAGATATGGGATGCCATCCCACAATACTGTGTCAGACGTATGATTCGTTCAGAGCGATGGAGATGCGAAGCGGGAGGGGAACACACATGCTACTGACGTATGGATTGACAATTCTGTTCTTGCATCTTTCTCTTGTCATAACGTCATTTCTGTACTGGACATGCGTCATTAAATCTGTAAACTTGTTTACTGGTCAATTGTTTGAATATATGAATTCTTCCAGATGTGTGCATCTACTTTGATCAGGTTCTTATTTATATCGTGTCACAGGAACTTTTGTTGCTGAGTATATATCCATGGTGACTGCCTTTTGTGACAAATGTCTGTACTTAATAATCATAAATAAAAGCGACAAAACCCTTTCCATAATCATAAGAAATCCCTGCCACCAGCAGAGTCGATTGTACGATTCCGACCAGTTCATGAGCAAGTTTATGAATCACGTGTCAATAGAGCATACTTGACTTATCTAAACATTTTATGTATTACTTTAATTACAACGAGCTAAGGTTACAATATGGTGATAGGTGTGATGTGACACACTGACACGGAATACTTGTTAATAAAAGCTACACAACCGTTTCCATATTTATAAATAAAATCCGTACGATTCCGTCTATACTATGAGCATGTGTTTATGAATCACTGTCAAATAGTGATGATACCAGGTGTTCGCGTATCCTGCCCCATTGGTGGCACGCGTCACAAACATGCAAAGGCAAGTCAATTGTTTACCTGCAAAAGACACGGGGGAAATGGTACAAGTCAGAATAGGGATTTGCATCGGACATAATTTTTATCACTGATGCGTTAAATTTGTTGTGTGGGAAAGTGGTGTACAGATTTGAAAAATCAAAGGTTTGATATAATTTAACTTTGCAAACACCCTTTCTCTGAATATGAAGGGAGTTCTTCCTTCATTGTATTGATTTGGGGATACTTGCTGGACCAAGCAATAGATCTCATCGTGCGGATCTGAAGGAGCTTTGGATTCCAGTACAAAAGAGGTATGTACATGTCTTCAGGTTTTAGAGTCAGGCCAATGATAGTACTGATGTGTGGTTTGGGTTGATTTCTTCCTCGGTTAACCAATACCAAATTACTTATCACCTTCCCAATGACTACCAAAGAATTACCTGTATATTTGGCCATGTTGTACTATTGACTGTGTTCACATTCCAGAAAACACAGGCACACCTACATTTTATTGGGAACAAGAGGCGCGGGTAGTCACCACCGTTTCGCTAGCCATCTCTGCTGTCTCGTTAATTCAGCTGTCTATGTGAGTTTTATTTTACCTGAATTCACCACTGCAGTCCATTCCCATACAAAAATATATCAGTAAATATTAAAATTAGTTTTTAATGTTCAGAAGTATATCCCATTACATATATAAATGTCCTCTGTCTCTTCTAGCTTTCTTCTTTTGCCAGTTAACTTTTGACAATTTGTGTCATGTTGAAGATGGATGAAGTTACATATTTATATAAGCAAAAAATATAAAGTTTTAGAATGAACAACAACATACCAATTAATGGAACATTGTAGTATTGTGTGCAAACAAAAACTTGGTGTATCATTAAAAATAGTCATGAAAGAAATGTTTGTTCTATACTTGTAATGTGACTGTTCCGTCTATTCTTTCCTCCAGAATATGTGTATACCTATTAAGACGAAACTGTGGAACAACCAGGTAAGGGTAAATGTACCTTTCCTATGAAATATTTGAGTGCTGACGGGGCGCGTCGCATTAAGTAGTAGTAGTAGTAGTAACAGTAGTAGTAGTAGTAGTAGTAAGAGTAGTAAGAGTAGTAGTAGTGGTGTTGGTAGTGGTAGCGGTGGTGGTGGTGTTTTAAAGGTTTTTTTCACCAAATTGCCATGATTTGTAAGTAGTCCTACATGCTCTGGTAATTTATTGTTTTCCTACATGTTGTTTGTATGCATTCTTTAAAATGCCTGGGGTCACGTATTGTATGGATTAGTGTGCAAACTGTTTTATTGATAAAACGGTCGTATTTTGAATATAACCCATATTCCTTAATCATTTACAGCAGGAGTGACGAATATAGTAAGTATAAAGTCATAAAAATTCATTACTTCGACTAAATCATTCACATGAAATACTATTAGATCATCATGAAATAAGAACACTTTTCAGTCAAATATTTGGATATAGCAGACATGTCTGGAACACACTGCCTCTTGTTATTGTAGAGAGATAGACAATTATATATTGTTTTGGATATTGTGGGTGTGTTTTGTTTAGGTTCGATGCGAGGCATGTTTATTGATATTGCAGATTCAAATATTACACGTTATTTGATGTCATGTCATGAAACAATTTATGATGACAAATGATTCGATGACAAGCGAAACGCCTTGTTAGGAATATGTTGCGGGAAGTGAATGGGCTTCAAATTCCACTTAAACATGTTTTGGGCACATATAAGAGTTTGACACGCTCATTTGTTATGCATGTGTCAGTGGATGTGTTGCTTTCTCACGACATATAACTATAACTATTCATCCAAAATAGTATACGCAGCCTTTTCTACTTCTGTACAATATTCCTCCATCACACATTATGGCAGCGTTAAGGGTCGGAGTTGCATTTTTTCGCACGAGCCGAATCAATGATAATTTGTATTATTCAACCCTTTTACGGTGACACAATAACGAGAACAGTGGTGAAATTGACCATTGGTGATGACTACCTCCTTGTACAAAAGTAATTCCATCTTTGTTCATGAATTTAGTAAATAAAATGTATAATCAGTCATTAATAACTCTCTAAAATAAAGACAATTCAGACCCTGTTTCCTTCAAATATGTTATGTTTCTAGATGGCTTCATTTGAGTGCATGTTATGGCCTACAGTGCATCTTTTTATTGTTTTAGTTGATACATTAAATACGTCATTGAAAATGTCTTATAAGTAGTCCGTAATAATAGTTTTCTAAAAAGGACTATTTGATATGTTTAGATCATACGATATTTGTATTTCAGAAAACACAGATATAAGATACCGTCATTGGGAGTCTAAAAGTGAAGGTAAACACATTTGGATGATTTCTCTTACTTATCTACTGATTTGGGTATTACTTCATACTCAAACTTGAGACAATTGCAGTTATCAGTCAGTTCCCGGTGATGACTGCTCTATTAAATATTTAACTATTCCTCAGTTATTTTAAGCGTGCTCGTGAATATTGTATTTTCAGATACTCCTGGTGAAAATGAGTCGATGCTCAACCAAATAGGTAATGAAGTTTAATTAAGATATCAATTCCTTTTGGGTAGTCATACTCGTAGCTTGTAACATATAAAATGTGCTCTAAGAATTGTTGCAATCCTTTTTCAAAAAGTTAGTATATGTGTATAAATATATGTATGAGGTTTTTTGGGAGTATTAACAAATGAAAACGACTAAACACACTCTGTCAAATGCGAGACTTCACACTGTCTGACTGTTTGATATGAGGACACAAATATGTGAGAGTTAAGATTGATATTTATATGGCTGTTAAGGTTATGCATAAAAACATCAACGGGATACGATGTCCGGAATGTGTAAAGCGATCCTGAAATCTATTACGAAAAAAGATAGCTTGAAAGTTTAACCGATTAATAAGCTGAAAGTATGTGGCTAGCTTCTCGTCTTATATTGACACAGTTTTGCGAGTTTTTGCCCGAAACACAAAACATGCCAAAATATAGGTCATAGGTTGTTGAGGCCATTGTTCAATCTACTCCATCTGTGTGTGTTTTTGTGATAACCCCTTAACGAAATAATCAATAAACTATGCTAATTTACTTCCATGCCAAACTTATCACAGAATTATGTTAATATTTTGAACTTCCTTTGCAGATTAACAACACGAAACAGCTACCACCATAATGGAAACCGACTCATAATGGAAACCGTTATCTACTCCTCTTGAAAAATGTTTCAAGGTTTCTTGAAGTTCTTGAGTTATCCTATGTTCATTGCCATTCAGCTTGTTTTGTTTTCATCACATGGTTTTATTTGTGTTTTCTGAGTTCATAATTTAATTTTATTCATTAATTGTATACTATTGTTTTAAAATGTTGTATTAATCATTGGGAAGTTCTGATTTTGACAATCGTCAATTCTGTTGGAATGTTGGGATGTACGTGTTTATCATTCTCTGCGGAAACTGTGATTTTTTCGTTGACAGAAATATAATATTAACCTATGCAAAACTTCAGTGGTTATTGGTGAAATCTCCATATTGAACTGGAAAATGTATTGTTAAAATTTTAAATAACAGGTATTCCATGTGTAATATAGTTTTGTATAATGCTTGCTATGCTTGTCAGACTTTTAATATTATGGCAATTAAATAAAAACAACATAATTATAAACTAAATCTCTAAAATTGTTTACTGCTGTTTGTTGTAATTGCTAATTGGTTACTCCTGCTCTATATTGAAAATATTAAAATGCACTTCTTTAATTCACTACTTAAACATATGTTGCCTTACTATTTTATGTAAACGGGCGATAAATGTAAGAAATCACAACATAAATATAGTATGCGCCTGTGTTCATTATCTCAAAACACACAATTCAACGACGTTTGATCCAAAACTTGAGAAATACCACAATTCTACAGACGTTCGCAATGTAAGAATTGTAGAAAAGTGACGTCACATTTTAACAAAAGTATCCTATGGCGTCACAGGTTCAGACGGTCGGTCAGAGGTTTTGGATCCACTTATGTATTTAAAATAATGACCCTCCCCTAATGCTGGTCATATTTTTGGATGAACCTCACCATGCCCTTGAACATTTTGTTCACTATCCTACCTTTATGTGTGTATTATTTTTTGTTTTAACCCTCTCTTAGAGGGTCATATTACTTTTAACCAAACTTAGAACAGAACTGTATAATTGTATTTAATTTTGCTCTGTTTAACCAGATTGAGTTTTGTGGCTCTCTAGCTTGTTTTGTTTTCCCGCAGTTGATTATTCGTTTATTGGTAGTAAGTTATCTTATTGATCAAAGGGCTTTATTTATCACTCATATCCTAGTGAAATTTGGTTCATAGTTTTATGCTGACCTTAATAAATAAATTTGAATGGACTGGAAAATAAACTGCCGTGCAACATGGAACAAACAAGAGATGGTTATTTGTTTAACAGGGGTATTATAGTTGTGTTTTGGACTTTAAGTTGGCAGTGTTTTGGCGACTGTTTTCGGCCAAGTAAAGTTTGATAACGTTAGTCATCTTAGGGCCAAATCCAATTTTCAAGTGTATGCTTTCTTTTGCCCGCCAGTTTAAAATATATTTATGTGGGGTAGTTGGGGTTCGAAGCCTTGTTCCAATATTTGTTGTTGTTCGCTTATCTATATGAATAAAGAGATCTGGTAGCTCATCTTTTGTGTGTTTTTGGTTTATCGGTAACCACACAACTTGGGCAGAAGGAATCATAAAATGTTCCTCTGTTGGTGATTTCATTTGGCTGAGGGAAAGCGTCCACTTCAGCACTGCTGCCTGCCGCCCACTCCGTGTGAATGATGAACAAAACAAATCCACTACACCTCTGCACCTACGAGGAGCGTTCAATACGTTTTGCAACTTCAATATAAGACCAAGTCGCAGAATATCTTTTGCACTTTTATTTTTTAATATAATCTCCATTCACCTCAATAGACTTATTCTATTTGTCCTTCAAGCTTTTACAGAAATCCGCAGATTGGCCCTCTAACCACGCCTCTGTGGCAGCCTTTATGTCCTCGTCATCCTGGAAGGGTCTTCCGCGTAGGGCAGATTTCATTTGCCGGAACAGGAAATAGTCACAGGGGGCTGTAGGTGGGTGATTTAACTGTTAGAATCCACATTCACATATGGCATCCTGTGCAGTTCTCGACTTGTGAACCGGAGCATGTAAGGAACTTGATTACAGCGTGTTGTTCGTGTTTGAGGGAATCCATGATTGTGACCACCCTTAGGTGAATGAAGCCATCCCATCTAACTTATTGTTGTGTCTGGAACTTGTTATGACACGTGTCAACCTGATCATATGACTAGTGTCACACCTGCAACAAGTTGACATTGTTTGTGTAAACACAAATGTCCAAGTTGCAAAACTTATTGAACGCCCCTCGTAACTTGTCGTAGTCTCAATCGCATTAAAATCATAGCGTCGCTTACCAGATCATGAAAGTGACACACAGAATGTGTTTTCTAATCATGCAATCTCGAAATATTTAACAGAGGGTATTCCGAACGACAGGTATGGGTTTTATGATTATATCCATACAATCTAGGCCATATGTAAGAAATTCTAGAATGACCTTTTTATGAGTTTTACGACTTTAATCGAGAATACGTCAAAAATATGTTTCGAAGCGTAGTCGCCAGTTTGAAACTAGTGTCGTAAAGCTCGAGTAAGCTGCCTTCTGATTGGCTAATGTCGATTTCTTGTCAGTCATTTCATTGATCGGTCAAAGTTTGCAAAAGGTCGTTCTGACGTAACCCGTAATGAGATGTCCTCAGATCTTTGTTCAGCGGTAGCGAAAACTAAGATCTGATTTTAATGAGATTGTCGTAGTCTTTGTCTGCTTATCCATTATAAAGAGAACGCGTGTCTTATTATTGTGTTGTCATCTTTCAAATACATGTATATGAGGGACTGATGTACTCAAAACATATCAGCTGTATTTATGTAAACGTAGGTGGAAGGTTTTCCTCGCAAATACGTCCGTGGTGAATGTGTGTCATGGTTATGTTTGAAATAGGCCATGTCAAATACAACACTGGTAAATCACAGGATTTGAAAGTCCTAGGGTCGAGTCCCAGATTCACCTGATATTTATACACTACGTACGTGCAACTATAATTGATCCTCAGTAACTAAATTTCGCCATGGTGCGGCCAGTTGTCTAAAGCACCGCAATTAGCTGTGCAGAGTTGCGTCCCTTAGTACTGCCTGGATTAAAATATCGTGGGTTTGAATCAACCGTGAAGATCTGGTCTTCAGCAGCCCGTGCTTCTCATAAGAGGCAACTAAATGGATCTTGTGGTCAGGCTCACTGTCATCGTATCGCAACTGCCTAGATCGATGCTCATAATGTCACTACATTGTCTGGTACAGACTTGATTATCTACAGACCGCCACCATATAGCTCGAATTGTACTGAGTGCAGTGTTAAACAGCTAACAAAGACACCTGAGGAGTATTAAACTTCAACCAAACAAACCAAAGAATAATAGTGAAACAATTGGTCTGTACTAATGTCCCATATGCCAGTGTCTTTGATTTAAAACTCATATTGGTAGGCACCAGAAACAAAATCCAATGTACTTATATAACCCACTCACAAAAGAAAAAAATTGTAAAGTGGTATTTTTTTCAGTTTATTTATTATTACATGACCAGAGTATGTTCCAGCCAACAATTATCTTTCATTCCAACTGCATAATGACAGGCCTGTGTACAATATAAAGAAAATCAACAAACACCTAAAAACAATTCTTAACATAGTGCTGACAAGCATCAAGAAATATGAATACTCTTTGTTTCAAGTAGCTCTCAAGTTAACACTGCCTCAGACTGTATGTATGAGAGAAATGACAAAGCAAATAATTCTGGACGGGTAACTACGGTATCAAAAACAGACATCAAAAGCAAAATCGTTTCAGTTTTTAATCAGCTTCCTAACCTGCCTAAGTTAAACATCAAAAACCTGATAAAAAAATATCAAAAGTTCTAATCAAAATAATGAAGTTCTATGTCTTTCCTTCTATAAGACACCCCTACCTACGCATAAAAACATGTTAGTTCCTGTATAGATATGGCATACAGTTTCATTATTTCAGGGTTGTCTTAGGTCATAGTATCGTATTCACTGTGCCCAAGTGCCCAAGGCTCATTGAAAATTTACAAAGGATGGGGCACTTATTGAAACCATACACAACCAGTTAAATTTGTTTTCGGAGACTGTGCAGTAGTGATCAAACGTTGATGGAAGTAAATCACTTTGGAGGCAATTATATACCCGTTCTAAGCTCCTTCTTCTGTAAAAAGATGTGTAATATACAGAAGAAAATATTAACTGCCATGTAAATATTCGGGGCAATTATAAAGGTTACTTATTGGTCTAGAGTTGGTCAGGGGGTGCTCGTTGGAGCATCGCGCTTAATATGGCAAATACAATGTCAGTATACCTAATAAAATCACAAAAAAATAAAACACGCCCTTATGAAAAGCAAACATTTGATTTGCATTCATAACACCTCAAAAAGAACTCCTTAATCAAATCAGTATTTAGAAAATTTATGTGTCATCTGATGTATTCCAGTGACTGAGCCTTACACCGCAGCCAGCAATATAACAGCTATATCATGGTAACATTTAATAACTATCAATGGTTAATGTACACACCAGAAGCCAGCTCATACATTTTAACCCACCAATCCACATTCAAACTGGTTCAATTAGGAAGAAGGTGAGCACTCATTTGCCATTAATTCCATCAAAGACACCAGGCTCTGCATAAACATAAAGTGTCATTATCCAACTAAGCAAATGACCTCATATCTCCTTAATGAGATTCTCCTTATGACAGTATTAATTCACTAATACTCTTTACATATATTAAGCATATATTAATTCATGCACTTGCATAAATTCTTTTTAAACATGAACAAAAGATATAATATTCAATAGCAGTACAGGTGAAATTGGTTTAACGTTACTTTCAAGATTATTTCACCTATATAGCAATGTGTATGCGCATGTGTGTGGCTGCTTGTACAAGTCTGGTTTTAGAATACTAACCCATGTAAATACCATGTTGCAGTTAAACAGGCATACCCCACTCAGACACATTCCACTTACTCCAAGCGGACCAGCCCTTGTTTTATCATGTTTATCACCACAATGACCAGCACCAGGCAGGGTAACAGCAAGTACCATCTTTTAACGTCTTTTGGTATGACGGACATCAAACCATCACGATCCTGCTCTCCGGGCAGACCTGCTCTCTCCACTACTGTACACCACTGAGGCGGCCTCCAGGAGATGTTTACTTAGTACATGTATTACATACACACAACAACATTGAATGCATATTCATAAATACTTTAATGGTCTTGACAGACTTTGAATACCCACGACAAATCGAAGCCTCTTTGTGACTAGAATTATTAATAAATGCCAAATGTTTGCACAAACCCATAGCGTGTGTGCGATCAGCACACTAATCTTGTTATCCCAATTCGATATGACTCATAAACTTAAGGCTGCAAACAAACATATAATATCATATCCATAATCAAAATCTACAGTTGCACCTCTGTACAAGAACCCTTAAGTTTTGTTATATCGGTCAGGCAGACAATAATAATATATATATATATATATATATATATATATATATATATATATATATATACACATGTACACTGAGTGAACATTTACCTCATTTTTGTGTATATATATATATATATATGCAAAGGTGTTTATATCTATATATATATACACATATATATATATGCAAAGGCATATATATATATATATATTGATAGATATATATATATATATTGATAGATATTTAGATGTAGATAGATATATATATATATACAGTACATATATATATGCAAAGGTGTATATATCATTTATATATATATATATATCTGCCTGACATATATATATGAATGGATGAATCAAAAGAAAACATTTTGAAACTCACATGAGAGCATGATTCAATCGGATTGTAAAACTTCTACCCATGTTGTTTATAACTTGACTGGCAGTAGAACAAAACCAAAAACAATATGAAAACATGTCCCCCTCTGTTACACCACTGTGGAGCATACACTGAAAGTTAGGGATTTTCCCGCTCCGTAAATATCATCTTCATCTGATTAACACAATGAGATTGCCTTTTTAACTATAAAATATTCCTATCCATATATAAACTGCAGGAATGAAATGATATCTCTCAAAATTCAGTCAACTCCAAACTCACCTCAAGAAAGACAAAAATAGTTGTCTACAAAAACTACATTCATGGGAATTGTGCTTGTTTCATTTTGAAAAAAAAAAGAAAAAAAGAGTAGCCGGGAATCAGTCAATCTCTCACAGATTGCTGACACCAGCAAACAGGGTATGTATAGGCATTGTATGTGCACTTCACCGACTTTGTCCAAGTACTTGGAAAAACTGACAGGTTCACTAGTACAGCGGTCCCTCACTACAACGCTACCAATGGGGTCCAAATAATTGGTGGGTGTTATAGACGATGAGCCGTTTAACCAAGGCCGAGGCGGGGGAGCGCGCTCGGCAAATCTCAAATCATCAATATGTGTTTATCTCACGTCACGTCAAAATAGTATATATTTTTATGGACCTAGATCTACCTGTAATATCATTCATTTATTAAATCTGTCACATTTCACAATGTCTGAAATACGTATTCCATTCTAATTTATCATTTTTTATCAATAAATTAAAAAATTATTCACTATTTCCCGCGATGTTATTGAAAATAAAATTCTCGGACACACATTTCGACAACGGGTCCGCATCGAACATGTCAAAGAGCAAAATAAAGACTATTTTAAGCAAATCTTTAAATATATTATACAAAGTGATAAATAAAATCAACAAAAATATATCTAAAAGTAATCAAACTTACATCTAAGTTATTATTTCCATCGTTTCGTGCGTTCGCGTGTAATGTAAGTCAAATGACATCTCGGCTTTCGTCGCCTTGAATTCTCGGCTCGGACACAACATAGTTCAACCTGGCGAATTGATTTAGTTGTAAGTTGGGTCAAAAGCACCCAAATGAATCACACGCTCAGAGATATTTCATATGAATGGTTTTGCCGTTTCTCGCACCTGAGAAATATGAAACCAAAAAGAATGAGACATCAAATATGCACAAAAATAAATGTCCAAACAAAATATTGTTGCATCAGTATGATCACATTGCTTCTGATGAAGCAGAATATAAGCAAAGTTCCAACATCAACCATTGCCGAGGACAGTGTCACACAGAGATGATCTTTATGCAGATCTACCATACACACAACACATATGCAGGCTTCAACACAACCAGTGACATAAAACAATCTGTCCAACAGAATAATTTATAGAGTTCCAGAAAAAGAAACAAACTTCAATGACAGTTACCTTTAAACACCTTTACTGTTTTTGAATTCTATTTTCTGTTTCTATTTTTGTGAACTTCATATTTCACAAGCCAATAACTTGTTGCTTCATACTTACTGGTATATGTGGAGATGTAAGGTCTATTTATCAACCCCTGCAAATATGTTATCAACATCATTCAAGAAATTCTTATATTCTCACACAATAATGTAAGACCATTCTAATGTCGAACTTCGTCAATTTTCCTGGGCTTAAAATGAGCTCTGTAGTGTATAGTGAGGGCTCCCTTCACAGTGAAACCCTTGCCACAGACCGTGCACTCAAACGGTTTGACTCCTGTGTGTATGATGGAGTGTTTGGTCCAGTCATACAGCCGAGTGAACTCCTGCGAGCACACGGAACACTGATACACTTTCTCCTCGGTGTGTGACAGTAGATGGCGCTTCAGGCTGCTCACACAGGTAAACTCCTTACTGCAGTACGAACACTGACACATCTGTTCCCGTGTGTGTACACGCATGTGAGACTTCAGATACTCCGGGCGGGTGAAAGTGTTCTTACAGTGTTTACATGTATGTGGTCGGTCGGTTTCATGAGTCCACATGTGCTTCTTCAGAGAATCCATTCTGTTGAAACTCTTGCTGCACTGCTTGCATTTAAAGGGGCGGTTGTCTGTGTGGCTTATCATGTGCCTGCTCAGATGGCTAGGGTAGATGAATGTCTCACCACACTGCTCACACTTGTACGGCTTATTGCCATTGTGGATAAAATTGTGAGCTCTCAAGTGACTGTTTAAGGTGAATTTCTTCTGACATATTTCACATTCAAAAGGCTTCTCTCCCGTGTGGATACGCACATGCTTGGTGAGGTCTGTGGACCTTGTGAAGGACTTCTCGCAGCTGTTGCACTTGAAGGGTTTGTAGCCAGTGTGACGTCGAGTATGGATCACCAACGTTCGCTTCAAAGTAAATTCAGCACCACAGGCATCACATCTGAATGGCTTCTTATCAAGGTGAACATTGGAATGATTTTTCAGATTCTTCTTCGTGGAGAACTTCCTTGAACAGATTTTACATTTCAGAACTTTGGGCAATGTTTTGCGACCAGGAGTCTGGTCATTGGTTTCTTCATCGGAATCATCTTTTCTGCTCTTTGATTTTTTCTTAGAACCCACACCCTTCTTTCTCCTTGGTCGCCCACGTCGTTTTGGAGGACTGGCTTCAGGGGTAGGCTGAGCTTCTTCCTCCTCAACATCATCCTGTTCCTGTTCCTGTTCTTCATCTTGAACCTCTGCAGGTTCTTCAGGAGGATCTGAAACATCATCTGCAGCAGCAGCATCTGACTGTGGAGAAACACTTCCAGCAGCATGTCCTGGGGCTTTGGACGGTCCTGTAACCGGATGAGTCCCAGATGTAGTAATACTTGTGTTATCATTTATGAAGTCAGCAACTCGGTTGACCTTCTTGATGATAGGTGTGAATGGGTTTGGGTTGCCAGCCAGTGGGACTGGCATCTTTGGGTACCCAGGCTCAGTTGACCAGTGAGGCCTGGTGGGTTTGGGCTTGGTTGTGGATGTGCCCTGATCCACCTTCTCAGTCAGCTCAGCACTGTCCACCTGGGAAGACGCATTGGTCTTCTCAGAACTGTAGTTCATCTGGTACCCAGACGGGCTGCCATTGTTATTTGATGAACTTTTAACAGGATTACTTTTGAGTGTCACTGACAAATGCAAGGTTTTGTCATCTTTTTTCTTTTCCTGTTCCTGACGAAGGTTCTTGGTCTTGAAGATCTTGTGTTCCCGTATGGGACTTGGTGTGGTGGGCTTTGGTTGGATGAATGTCTTGTTTCCATATGTCTTTGGTCGGCGTTTGATGATGAAGTTGCAGACAGAGCCCTCAGAGAAGATCCAGTCCGCCGCAGCTGTTTGGGTGCTTTTGTCATCCAAGCTCATGGTGAAGAGGATCGCTTGTCACAGCTGCCTGGAAGATATAGAACACTGAGTGAGTCAACAAAGTCAACAAAATTCCAGCTTTAGCTTTGAATTGCGGGTTAACATCCCATTATAGATTATTGCACTGCTATAGTGACGTGCATGTAGATGTGTGTGGCTGCTTGTACTAGTCGGGTCTTGTGCCGCTTTTAAAGAGCTAGCTCACCATGACACCACGCCACAGTTTAACATGAATATTCTTCTCAGACACATTATACTGACTTTAAATTGAACAGTCCTTGTTGTATTGCATAATACTGAGCGCCAGACAGGGTAAAAACAAGTGCCATCTTTAAACGTCTTTTGGTATGACACATCCAGGGGTCGGACCACTGACATTCCGCTCTCCGGGGAGAGATGCTCTATCCTCCAGACCAGGGAGACACTCAATCAACTCTTGGACTGGCAAACCTGTGGTTGACACAACTATCTACATCGCCAGGATGCAAGGAGACACATATCAGCCAGGTCACACATTATTACCACACAATCCTCATTAGTCAGAAACCCATGCTTGCCGTAAAAGGCGACTATGCTTGTCGTAAGAGGCGACTAACGGGATCGGGTGGTCAGGCTTGGTTGAAGCATGTCATTGATCCCAATTGCGTGGATCGATACTTATGATATCAATCACTGGATTGTCTGGTCCAGACTTAATTATTTACAGACCGCCGTCATGCAGCTGGAATATTGCTGAGTGCGGCATAAAACAAACCAACAACCAGTCATTAGTGGGCTCCAACAGTAACCATGGGAGGGAAATGGGAGCTACTCTGCCCCCGAATTCCACCTGAATTTGATCTAGAAATCACACTTGAGTCCTTATTATCGGTATCAAGATTTCCTTTGATATGTACCCTGTGGGGATTCAGGATTAGAATAGGAGCCTACTAGGACCTCAGCAAACTATGCTGGTTGTAAGACAACTTAATGCATCTTGGTGACTTGGTTGATTGCGTGTCAGCTTACCCTAATGTCATTTATCGATGCTCACAATATCAGTCACTGGATTGTCTGGTCAAGACTCGATTATTTACACGTCATTCTGACGTGACCTGTTATGGGATGTCCTCAGATCTTTGTTTAGCAGTAGAGAAAACTAAGATCTGATTGATTACATGTGAGCTTACCCTAATGTCATTTATCGATGCTCACAATATCAGTCACTGGATTGTCTGGTCAAGACTCGATTATTTACACGTCATTCTGACGTGACCTGTTATGGGATGTCCTCAGATCTTTGTTTAGCAGTAGAGAAAACTAAGATCTGATTTTAATGAGATTGGCAGTTGATATGACAATGTCCTACACCATCAGAGTATGATGATATGCAATCCACCTAGTCACCAAGTCTGACCATCCAATCCAAATTCATGCAGTTGCTTCTCACTACAAGACATAGAGACAGGAATTTATCTGGACTTGCTTAGAGGTGGATACATGACCCAATGTCTGCTGCAAATGTCTTTAAAAATTCCCACTTTGGAACTGAACATTTCTCAATTCATGTTACAATGTATTAACATATATAACTGATAACTATTTTTATGTCTTTGTAGAAGTAACCTGTATTCACTTAACATGCTTAAAGAGACAAATAAATAAGAACAGTATTTTATGCTGTGTTTTATATTACTGCATACAAAGCAATCTCAAAACAGCTAAATTTATGAAAATATTAACTTTTGTAAAATAACAGTTTTGACAAAATATGTAATTAGTTAGAATCCTGGACAAATCCTTGAGTGTTCTATGAACCTATTCTAACCTGCCTCCACACAAGATTGGGTAGCTGTTTTAATACTTGTACTTTAATAGGGGTAAAAATGGAAAGATATGGAGAATCTCACCTGAGTGTCTTTTGATATCAAATATATCAACACACAAGTTGATACAAGTGGAAAAACTCCAAAGCTTGCAGAGTAATTTTTCCACTTTTATCAACGAGTGTCGATATATTTGATATCAAATGACACGAGGGTGAGATTTTATTTATCATTATGATTAAACATCATTCTTCAAGCTGAAATTGCATGATATTACATATATAATTATATATCCTGTCTCTATCAACAACGTTCTTTTCTTTGCTTCCCACACTCCTTCTTTTTTATGTGCAGATCCCATCAGCCCCAATGTTATGTTATATAGGCATTTCTTTAATAAATATGATAGATTTTATCATGTTAATGAATATTTCTGTGAGATGCAGGAGACCTGTTATTCACTTAAACGAACAACTGATAAATAAATGGCACTAAATCTAGATGAAGTGTTCGTAAAATCTCACATGGCTTCCACAGGCAGACAATGGTGTTCACAGACCACGCTACCGACAAACATATTGACCTTTGACACAGAACATAATCCACTCTCCTGCTCTAGATAACGGCCGAAAAGACTTAAATAGGCTAAATATGTTGAAAACACGTCCGTGCAAACATACCCTAGCATATATATTCTAATTCAATGAATATGCGCGGCTTCAGTTTGGGCGAGCGCTCTACTGCTGTGATAAAATCAACTAGACAAAATGGCCGCCCTCGCATCGTCTAACGAACAATATTCTCAATCTAATAAGCCTAGCTGAATGCATACGTCACTCTGGGTTGGTGTGGTCTGTAATAATACTACCGCGTGTAAAATCATACCTGCTGGCAAAGATGAATACTTGTAAACAGCTGATCCTACGAGGGACTGCACCCTGCCGAAGAAACGCGCTTTGCTCGGGTCGTTTGCACACGGCACACTTGTTCTGATGAGAAAGTGGTTGCTCTCCCGTCCGAATCGGTTTTCTTGACTTCGATTTCTTATCGTGTTCATATCATGTATTTGTAGCTGTGTTTTGAATTAAAGTAAGTATTTTAGATAATTAACGTTTGTTTCCCAATATAGATTTGTGTGAACATGACATAATCTATTATTTTCACATTGATAGCACATTATTAACAATATATATTCACAACGTAACAGGTGCGTGTTTTAGTTTTGCTCAAGAATTTCTGTTATTCATCTTCTAAATTGTGGAAATTCAAATGAGATGCCAGGAAATAAGTTGTTTTTTTATTTTTGGTATATTCTTGGGATAGATTGGGTTTTTTTCAGTTCTAAAACTGTTCAAAGTTAGATTGCTGCATGATATCTCGGAGCCCGATTGTATTTGGCAGCAACTATTTGTGAGTGTTTATGGAAACCTGCTTATAATTTTTTCACAATTTAGCAAATGTTTTATGGGGTCTTGGGGTAATATTTAGTCAGTGAGTGAATGTTGTTTTACGTCAAAAGTTATCACGGTCCCAGCAATATCACGGCGTATGTCTGGAAGTGAGGTAGTGAGGTGAAATGGGGTTTTACGTCGCGTCCAGGATTAATGCAGTAACATGGCGACGTGCACGTGTGTTTGAGTGTGTGTGTGTGTGTGAGTGTGTGTGTGTGTGTGTGTGTGTGTGTGTGGCTGAACTGAACTTTATCACTGTCATATACAGTGCAAGTACAACATGCGATGTCAGCCATTTCTGGTGTCCCCCGTCGTGATATTGCTGGAATATTGCTGAAACACAATCACCCACTCACTCCGGGTTAGAATTGGTCTTGAGCAACGCATGCCTGTCGTAAGAGGCGACTAAATAACGGATCGGGTGGTCAGGCTCGCTGACTTGGTTGATGCATGTCATCGTATCCCAATTTCGCGGATCGATGCTCATGATATCAATCACTAGTTTGTCTGGTCCAAACCCGATTATTTACAGACCGCCATCATATTGCTGTAATGTTGCTGAGTGCGGCGTGGAAGAAGAAACAAAACAAAAACAAAATCCGGACATTTGTTCTAGCATCGTCCGGATTGACAGGGTTTCACTGAACACAAGGGGCGTCTACAGAGGGAAGAGAGCCGTGCGTAACAACTATATAGTGTATGTGTCAATCCCCCCGATTTCTAACTCTGAGATAATGGAACCACAGGGCGAATGGTTGGCATTTATCAAGAGCGGCCTGAACGTTGTTTACGCTTGCTTGTTTGTAATGCGTCTATACTTTGTCACGAATAGACGGAGCAGCAGGAAGGGTGTTGTCATTCAAGTATATCCTCCCTCACTACAATACTGCACTAAACTACTTCCATTCGTCTGTCATATCTTAATTTCTGCCCCCCACTGTCTGTCATATTTCCATTCTCCCCCCCCCCCCCCCCGCACCTCCTCCCCCCGTCTGTCATATCTCATTAACCTCCCCCCCCCTCCGTCTGTCATGTCTCATCCCCCCCGTCTGTCATATTTCATTCCCTCCCCCATCCGTATTTCATATCCCCATTACATCCCCACCTCCACCCCACCCCTCTCTCATCTCAAATCTCCCCTCCCAACCCTCATCCGTCTGTCAGATCTCCCCTCCCTCCCCACGCCCGTTCTCAAATATCCCCCAATCCCCCCCCCCCCCCCCCCCCCCCCACACACACACACACCTCCGTCATATCTCCATTTCCTCCCTGCCAGACTCTCAAATCCACCCTTTCACCCATCATCCCTCTCAAATCTCCCCTACCCCTACCCCCACCTCCGTCTCTCAAATGTCAACAACCTCTCGCCCCCACCCCCGTCCGTCTCTCAAATCTCCACCACCCCCTTCCCCTACCCCCGTCCGTCTCTCAAGTCTCATCTCCCACACCTCGTTCATCTGTTAAATCCCCCCCCCCACACACACACACACACACACACAACACACACACACAACACACCGGTCCATCTGTCATATCTCCTCTCCCTCAGCCGTCTGTCATATCTTATTCGTCTACAATATTTTCGTACATTTGTCATACATTGCTGTGAGGGTGAGACGCAAAAGACACACAGTCATACTTCATTCCAGTCCTCAGTGATGATGTCACTCACAGCGATGACACACATCAGATAGAAACAGGAAGATCTTTTCCGAGCGCTTCTTTGACATTTCACATGTCTGGGCTCATCTACCAAAGAACGATAACTCCTCCAGTCTCTACCGTATGATGGAGAGTCAATCGCTGTAAAGCGCATGGTATTTAGCTCAAATTTAAACCCGCCAGCATTATACCCACAAAGGGGTCACAGACCAGCTCCTTCTCACTGTTGCTGAAGGCTCACAGAATCAACATGGCAGCATTCTTCGTGTGGATGGTGGCAGCGACCAGTGCCTCAATCGTACACTGCGGTAAGTTTGGAGTAAACTTTCTCACGGCGCAATTACAGTACCAATCTGGTAGGTTCTCGTCAGACATCGAGGAATGCTTGCCGCATCTATCGCTTGAATCACACGTGCAGTCATATAATTGCCGTAGTAGAGTGAATAGGTCAGGATCTTCCAAGATTCCCGCCTTTACGTATTTGCAGTAACTTTATGGGGTAAAGAAACCAATGCCTTCCCACGACGTTTCGCTATAACGCGGACGGGGGCTTGGTTAGGGCGGAGGGGTCCCTATGCAGTCCCTATGCAGTCCCTATGCAGTGTTATCGTCATTATGGATGGTGGTGGTTGTGGGGCTTAGATGTTTGAACGTGATGGGGGAGAGGGGAAGGGGTGCGGATGAGAGCGTTCATGAGAAAATACGTCGTAGGATACGTTGTGTTATAGTATTATTTTATAGTTAATCCCCACTCGTGAAAATATCAAACTATATCAGGCCACGCGTTGAAATAAATTGGCAAGATAAGCCAAATATCACCCGTCTGTCTTTAGTGCCAAACGGTAAAATGAATAGATTCAAAAACAGAAAAGGTGATATTTTAAGCGATACTTTTATGTATTACATGTCGACAGACGCCCGGGCTTCTGTTTATTTCGGACAAGCCTTTGACCCGGCGTCAATTAGAGGCCCGGCGTCTATTGGACGCCCGGCGTCTATTAATACCCCCATTTCACTATGACCACGAATTTAGGTCCCAAAAGGGGATCATTAATTGTATCAATTGATCGACCCGGCGTCTATTAGAGGCCCGGCTTCTATTTTTTGCACTGAACAATTGACCCGGCTTCTATTAGAGGAAATACGGTACCTATACAGAAAAGCCAGCTCTAGTTCAGCTCAAAATACACGACAAGCTTCTAGAAAAATGTTATTCTGGATTGAAGCAATGGACAGTATTTCTCCAACAGTGATAAGAAATGGTGCTTGTAATTGAATTTATTTCAGAATCGGACCTTCGGAACATTTATATGTACTTACATGTTTTGAGACTAAATCTAATAAATGTTCCCTCGTTGAGCCGCTTATTTGTAGTAATTATCCTATACATGTAGTCGTGTGTCCATCATTACACTGGCTGACATGATTGCCTTCATTAGTGTATCGCTGTGTAATTATCAATGACTAGGATATTCACGTGAACTTTGAGAGATATGTTGTATTTAAAAGGTGTCAAAATGATGTCATTGTTACACCGCAAAACGAGGGTCTTTCGTGTTTCGTTTTCACCCGGTCTTTCAATCGCGCGTCTTTTTCAAAATTAATTTTACGGAATTAGCTTCCATTTTTTCACTGGCTGTACATACACGTCTATGATAAACTGTCGGTCCAAATAAAGTACATATTGAAAAATGTATTTGCTAAAAAACTTACAAACGTTATCAGGATGTTACTAGGCCGAAAACAGTCGCCGAAGCACTTCAAACTTAAGGCCCAAATCACAACCATGTACCCGTTTGAAATACATCACTATCGAATAAGCATTTGTTTGTTCCACCGTTAGCCACGATAAAACACGCACGGGTGTGTACTTTCTTTCGTCTAGCAGTTTGGTTGAAATATAATCTACACCAAAAAACAAACAAAGCGCTTCATCAATCGATTTAAGAAAAACTCAATGAACACGGAAGACTTGCGGGGGTGGTATACGTTTCCCGTGTACAAGTATATTGTATTTTGTATGTCTCTTGGGATGAGGATGGAGTGCATGAAGTGTCGGCGTTACAAAACAATTCACGACTGATAGCCGTATCTACTTTGAGGGGGTAATGAGGAGCGTGATTATGCTGATGCGAGGTTACGAAATGGGATGGGTCATCCATCTGTTTGGGCGGGAGGGACAGCCGTGATAGACGCTGAACACATCCGGTGATTATATACACTGTATGTACGACAGCAGCAGCAGTAGCATCCAGCATAGGGGCAATTAAGTTAGTATCCAACACAGGACCAGTAAGTATCCAACACGGGGACCAGTTATTATCAAACGCAGGGACCAGTTAGTATCCAACACAGGGACCAGTTAGTATCCAACACAGGGACCAGTTAGTATCCAACACAGGACCAGTAAGTATCCAACACGGGGACCAGTTATTATCAAACGCAGGGACCAGTTAGTATCCAACACGGGGACCAGTTAGTATCCAACACGGGGACTAGCTAGCATCCAGCATAGGGACAATTAATTTAGTATCCAATGCAGGGACCAGTTAGTATCCAACACGGGGACCAGTTAGAATCCAACACGGGGACCTGTTTGTATCCAACACGGAGACCAGTTAGTATCCAACACGGGGACCAGTTAGTATCCAACACGGGGACTAGCTAGCATCCAGCATAGGGACAATTAATTTAGTATCCAACACGGGGACCTGTTTGTATCCAACACGGGGACCAGTTAGTATCCAACACGGGGACCAGTTAGTATCCAACACGGGGACCAGTTAGTATCCAACACGGGGACCAATTAGTATCCAACACGGGGACCAGTTGATATCCAACACAGGGACCAGTTAGTATCCAACACAGGGTCCAGTTAGTATCCATCACGGGGACCAGCTAGTATCCCACACGGGGACCAGCTAGTATCCAACACGGGGACCAGTTAGTATCCTACACGGCGACCATTAGTATCCAACACGGGGACCAGTTAGTATCCAACACAGGGACCAGTTAGTATCCAACACGGGGGTCCAGTTAGTATCCATCACGGGGGTCAAGTTAGTATCAATCACGGGGACCAGTTAGTATCCAATACGGGGACAAGTTAGTATCAAACACGGGGACCAGTTAGTATCCAACACGGGGTAGAGTTAGTATCCAATGCAGGGACCAGTTAGTATCCAACACGGGGACCAGTTAGTATCCAACACGGGGGTCCAGTTAGTATCCATCACGGGGGTCAAGTTAGTATCAATCACGGGGACCAGTTAGTATCCAACACGGGGACAAGTTAGTATCAAACACGGGGACCAGTTAGTATCCAACACGGGGTAGAGTTAGTATCCAATGCAGGGACCAGTTAGTATCCAACACGGGGACCAGTTAGTATCCAACACGGGGACCAGTTAGTATCCAACACGGGGACCAGTTAGTATCCAATGCAGGGACCAGTTAGTATCCAACACGGGGACCAGTTAGTATCCAACACGGGGACTAGCTAGCATCCAGCATAGGGACAATTAAGTTAGTATCCAATGCAGGGACCAGTTAGTATCCAACACGGGGACCAGTTAGTATCCAACACGGGGACCAGTTAGTATCCAACACAGGGACCAGTTAGTATCCAATGCAGGGACCAGTTAGTATCAAACACGGGGAACAGTTAGTATCCAACACGGGGACCAGTAAGTATCCAACACGGGGACCAGTTAGTATCCAACACGGGGACCAGTTAGTATCCAACACGGGGACCAGTTAGTATCCAACACAGGGACCAGTTAGTATCCAATGCAGGGACCAGTTAGTATCAAACACGGGGAACAGTTAGTATCCAACACGGGGACCAGTTAGTATCCAGCACGGGGACCAGTTGGTATCCAACACAGGGTCCAGTTAGTATCCAATAGGATCCACAACTGCCACGCCATAGAACACGTGTGAGTGAGGGACTTTGATCATTTCTTAGTTTTGTCAAGATGTTTCAGGTCGAAATGAAGCAGGTCAGGACGATCATTAGATTATCAACAATATTCATTTTGACTTATGTTTTTTATGATGAATTGGACGCAAAGATTGTATGCGAATAAAGTTTCTGATCCGAAATTTCCGTAAAATGTGACATTTTTCTTCATCGTATTATTGCATGATTTATGAGTGTTTTTACATGCAATCAATCCCAAACGCAGCCATAGAACTGATGCCTTGTAAAATACAGCCTGGTTCCCTGGGTATGCTGCGCTGGCGCTCAGTGTAACCAGGGAACAAGGCTACGTAGAATATTCCCACTTCACAAAGACGAATAACCTGCTGCGGTAGCCCAGTGGTTCAAGCTGTGACTCCTTACGGCCCAGACCGGGTTTGTTTCTCAGCATGATTCTTCTTGGCACCCCGCCGTGATATGACTGGAATATTGTTTAGAGCGGCGTCTACCCAACACACCCAGTCGCCATACAGACTAAACCCACAGTCACATATATGTGTCAATGACGACCACGTCTCTTCCCTCAGTGCCGCCCCAGAGCAGCGTTGCTATAGAGAGCAGGTTGGTTCAGCACCTGATGCGGGGCTACATGAAGGAGGCACTGCCAGTCCTCAAAGTCAAGACCAGTGTCAACGTCTCCATGCAAGTCAGCTTCGTCGGAGTCGATGATGTCGTAAGTAGACCTCGTCCATTCCCGGGGTATCTCGTTAATACATGTAACGTGTTGACAACAGCTGAGATGTATTCGATTAGCGTAAAAGGTAAATGTTTTTTTGTCGGAAATCCGGTTGATGTTTTTACTGTCCCTATTTTGGTTTGGACAGGTTATCAGTGTGGTCATACCCACGACCTCGGCACTTTGTAGTTGAGGCAGCTGTTGCAGCAGAAGTTGTTGTAGTTTATTTGTTTGTTTGTTGTTCAACGCCGCACTCAGCAATATTCCAGCTATATGACGGCGGTCTGTAAATAATCGAGTCTGGACCAGACAATCCAGTGATTGACAACATGAGCATCGATCCACGCAATTGGGATCGTTGACATGCATCAACCAAGTCAGCGAGCCTGACCACCCGATCCCGTTAGTCGCCCTCATGATATTAATCACTGGATTGTCTGGTCCAGATTATTTACAGACCGCTATCATATAGATAGAATATTGCTGAGTGCGGCGTTAAACAACAAACCAACCAACCGTTAGTCGCCTCTTACGACAAGCATGGGTTGCTGAAGACCTATTCTACCCCGGATCTTCACGGGCCAGTTGTTGTAATAATATTAGAATTAGCACTAACGTTGGTGGTGACTTTGATGTCGCGGTGATGATGTTAGTGGTAAAGATGGCAGTGGTGGTGATGATGACGATGGAGTAGTAGTAGGATGAGGCGATGGACGTCAGCGTCAATCAACAGGCGCGATGATTGTGTACACTACGGTTATATGACCCCAAGGCCTCTGCTTACGTTTCAGGACGAGAACAAGAACATCTTCACTGCTACGCTTCTGTTAGCGCAGGTACGTACTGTCAATCCAATAATAACAAAAGTGATCTTCGCAATCTTCTTTCGGTTAAGATAAAAAGGAAATATTTCTCCGACAAAATACTGCTCGTGATTCTGTCATCCTTAAAATTGCTCGCTTGACAGCTGATTATAAGAAAGATCGAGTTGTGTTTGTTTAAGATATAAAAAGAAATTTTCAGAAGACTTAATTTCTCATTTTGAAGAAAATGTGCCCGAGAATCATGTGTGTTTTGCAGCCCCATGAAACACAAGGTAAAATGGGGTTTAACGTCGCGTTCAAGATTATTACATACCATGCCGCAGTTCAACATGGATACCCCACTTAGACACAGTATCCTCCGAGGTGGCCAGTCCTTGGGTGACTGTGACGCGTCTTTGGATCGGACCACCGACCATAGGGGGATCTTATCACTAGGGTGCCCACAAACCTATGAGTGAGTGAGTGAGTGAGTTGGGTTTTACGCCGCTTTTAACATTATTCCAGTTATATCACGGCGTGTCAGCTTAATGTGGGAGGATGCAGTCTTAGACGTTTACCACTTCAGTGAAACCCACGAGCACGGATATGGTGCTGACAAACCTAGAAACATAATTGGGGCGAACCGGGATTCGAACCCACAATCATAGGTTTCTGGTGTGCCCAAAGGACGCAATTCTGCACAGCGAATCGCGGCGCCTTAGACGACTCGGCCACCCATACCCGTACTCGTGGGTTTTCATTGAAGTGGTAAACGTCTAAGACCTGCATCACTTCGGGCTTTCCTCCAACATTATGTTGACACACCGTGATATTATTATTAAACGTATTTTATTCATCTTGACTAAACTGCATGCAAAGATCAGCAAATCTATGTTATTAACAACTGAGATCATATTATTACGACACAGTTGATGGGTTATATTTGCTGTTCAGCTTTGGAAAGACCCACGTTTGGCATGGAACGCCAGCGAGTATGGCGGGATGGGTACGATCCGTCTCCCCGTGGACAAGTTGTGGATACCGGACATCGTGCCCTACAACACGTGAGTACCCCAGTCTTACTCACGAAGTCAATAAAACCGGATCTGTTACTCTGATACGATAGCGCTCTGCGTGAAGATCTGAGGACGCCCGTGACCAGCCAATCATCGCCAAGGCTTCTTAAGTCTCGGGACGATTCAGCGAAGCATTCAGACCGGCATATTTGATTTCTGTGTCTAAAAATCTGAGCTAAAACGACCATTCCAAATGTGCATTATGTTGTCGTGGATATGTTATGTACTCTGAGCGACGTGGCATCCATGGTCAAAAGAGAGTACCAACGAAGGCATATCTTTGTCCTGCGTGAGTGTTATCATTTCTTAATCGACATTTCCGAATCGAGATGGTAAAAAAATGAAGCCACCTCGTTTCAGAAAGCTGGCATCTGATTGGCTAATGAATCCAACGGAAGTCGGATGGTTCACCTGACGTGACATTCAGGAGGTGACCTCAGATCTTGAAGCAGAGAAGTATCATGTCGGAGTAAAGATTGTGTTTTATTGAGATTGCCCATTAAGATTTGCCAGACCCACCCTAATGTGTCCATACGCATACAAACTTTGAATAGATGCTAATAATTTAGATTGCGAGGCCATGGTGAAGAAATAATGCTTGGCTGTTTGAATTGTTACAAGTAATTAAATTTGTAAATCATATCCTACATATAACTGCCATGTCCTTCCCAGCTGTGTAAAACCTCACTTACACATTCAAGCACTTACTTACTCACTCACTCACTCACTCACTCACTCACTCACTCACTCACTCACTCACCATGCCTTCGTTTAACATGAATACACCAAGTCAGACACAGTATAGTGACTCCGAGCCGACCAGGCCTTGCGTTATCCACTTAATGTCGAACGCCAGGCATGGTAACAGGAAGTACCACCTGTCAACGTCTTTTGGTATGACACAGCCAAGGAATCGAATGCCAGTTCTGAGGACGTGTGGTGTATATAGACGTCAGTGTGCTGATACAAACGTACGCACAAGTATACATACGTCATTCTACCATGATGTTGATGAATGCTTGATTCTGATTGGTTAGAAAGGGGTTTCCTTTTTGCTACGAAACCCCTTTTTACAAAAAAACGTGCGTATAGATGGCCTACATATCGATTCATAAAAAAATGGCTGCCGATCGATCACCCCCGATATGAACTGTTAAACGTATCTATATATCCTCTATTACACGCTGGGCCTCTAATACAAGCCGAGTGAAGGGCTCTCGCGAAATTAATAGACGGCATAGCGTCCAGTAGCGGAAATACTAAACTAAACTGCTTCGATGATGATATAAAAAGATTTAACGAGGGCGTATCTTTGGCATACAAATGAAATGTTTATGAAACTGTTAGGGAAATGTTCTATGGTGACCAGAATCGGAACAATTTTAGCAATTTCCTCATTTTTAATTGTTTTACAACCGACAATGAAAGTAAAATAAAACATTATAAAAATTGTTTGAAAAACTCTATTCATGACAACATGTTGTTTGCAAACCCTTTTCTGATCGATATTCATTGCCATCTCCGTCAACCACCATCGTAAAGAATTGGCAGAAGAGATTTTAAAGTCCATCACTCGGAAAACACTCGTCCATTCGAAAGGTCACGAAAACAATGTCCCGACATCATTGAAGACAAACTCGATGACATTCATTTCAGAACACGCACAATTAAGAAAGCCATACACGACCCACTATTCCTGGACGACAACTGTCTCATTGCTAGCACACGATGGCTTTGAATCTGAGAATCTTGAAATTGGCAGTACAAACCATGCCGATTGTTCGTGTCAGCATAGCCGGCTCGTCAGGAGGCCCAAAGAGCGGTTGTTCAGTCATACTCCAGTTCCACTGGTAATCACATTGTACGAGCAGGCTCATTCCCCGTAAATCACAGTGCACAGAGAGTTGCGATGAAATTAAAACATCTATCTTTGGGCTAAGTTTGGAGGGTAATTTGTCAATTTCTTTTTAAAAAAACCATGTGTTTTGAACACTTATTTTGAACTAAAGCGCTCGGTTCCAAATTAAAATAAGAGGTATCTATGACGTGAAAGGGTCGTTATGTCAGTAAACATGACGTGAGAGGGCCGTTACGTCAGTAAACATGACGTGAGGTCATTATGTCAGTAAACATGACATGAGAGGGTCGTTACGTCAGTAAACATGACGTGAGAGGGTCGTTACGTCATTGAACATGACGTGAGAGGGCCGTTACGTCAGTAATCATGACGTGAGGTCGTTATGTCAGTAAACATGACATGAGAGGGTCACTACGTCAGTGAACATGACGTGAGGGGGGTCGTGACGTCAGTACACATGACGTGAGAGGGTCGTTATGTCAGTAAACATGACGTGAGAGGGTCACTACGTTAGTGAACATGACGTGAGGGGGTCGTTAAGTCAGTAAGCATGACGTGAGAGGGTCGTTATGTCAGTAAACATGACGTGAGGTCGTTATGTCACTGAACATGACATGAGGGGGTCGTTACGTCAGTAAGCATGACGTGAGAGGGTCGTTATGTCAGTAAACATGACGTGAGAGGGTCGTTACGTCGGTAAACATGACGTGAGAGGGTCTTTACGTCAGTAAGCATGACGTGAGAGGGTCGTTATGTCAGTAAGCATGACGTGAGAGGGTCGTTATGTTAGTAAACATGACGTGAGAGGGTCGTTACGTCGGTAAACATGACGTGAGAGGGTCTTTACGTCAGTAAGCATGACGTGAGAGGGTCGTTATGTCAGTAAGCATGACGTGAGAGGGTCGTTATGTTAGTAAACATGACGTGAGAGGGTCGTTAGATCAGTAAACATGACGTGAGGTCGTTACGTCAGTAAACATGACGTGAGGGGGTCGTTGCGTCAGTAAACATGACGTGAGGTCGTTACGTCAGTGAACATGACGTGAGGGGGTCGTTTCGTCAGTAAACATGCAGTGAGAGGGTCAGTTCGTTAGTATACACTAACGGCAGTAGAACAAAATGCTTTGCGTCTGTACATGGACGTCAGAGTATAATTATTTCTACAAATTGTCAACATGAACGTCATAAGTTCAACATACGTTGACGTCAGTACGGTAGAATATTTAAACAGCAAAAAGTCAGTATACGGCAAAATATTTATAGGCAATAGGTCCGTAAGGTAGAATATTTTAAGGGCAGTACAGAAGAATATATAAACGTCAATACGGTAGTATATTTATACGTCCAAAGTTGACTATTGTCGTACGAACTTCAGCATACATAGTCATACGGTCAGTACGCCCGAGTACATTAAGCCCATTTCCCGTAGCTCGTGGTGCCATCAATGAAATGGATTTACACGATTCCACATTAGCCCGTTGAATACCGCTGAGTAGAGGTGTCATGTAGTTGGTTCTGTAAGTGTTGTAGCACCGAACATCGTTAACGGGGTGATTGCCCAATTTGAATAAATCATTGGTCAAATGTCAAATGACACTACTTCACTTGAATACATGTAGTGCCTCGATGTAGTCAAACAAGTCGACGTGACAACATTGCTCTGCTGAAGGCGATCTGGCATGCCCTGTGCATCACTCTTGTAATTGAGAATCAGGTCGTAGCCTTCCACATCAGAATGAGGTTAAAATGTTTGATTACTTGTCCTCCCTTCTGCATGTTACCTAAGGGACTGGTCATTTTGTATAGGGAGGGGGTGAAGGTGAGTTTATCATCCAAAACTGGCTCCCACAGGAGATATCGCTTGGATGAGATCAAGCGATATCTACACTGTAGATATCGCTGCAATGAAATTACATCGCAATGCTTTGCAGACCATTGTGACGTCACTGGTTACCATGACGTCACAATCAAATGACATCACTAATGGCTCTGCTACTGAAGCCGTTTTCAGTACTTTTTACACTGAAGACACTGCTAATTACTGTCTACAAATTGAAAAAGTTGAAAGAATGATGTTGGATGATAAATAAAATCTCACCCTCGTGTCTTTTGATATCAAATATATCAACACTCGTTGATAAAAGTGGCAAAATTCCTCGGCAAGCCTCGGAATTTTTCCCCTTTTATCAACTCGTGTTGATATATTTGATATCAAAAGACACTCGGGTGAGATTCTCTATGTATTGGGAGGGGGGGGATTAGAGGGGGTGTCATAAAAAAGGAAACAGCGAAAGGGAGGGTAGGGGCATGATTAAAAAGTACATAAAAGGGGGCGTGTCAGCAACATATGATGCAGACCTAAGACCAAGATCACCACCCGCCACCCCACCCGCATTCCACACCCCAACCCCTGTATTAAACTACCTGTCTCTTAACTGTCTAAAGGCGTTGTCCGCGGCCGTTAAAGTTTACTTTTAACAGATGTCCTCTGAAACTATGTCGCTGAAACTCTGTGTGGGTTAACTCAAACAGATTTAGTTGTTAAATGTAGACACCAAACGTTGGAGCTGCAGGAATATTCCTCGACATGAAGGAAAAGCTGACTATTGCATTTTGAAAGAATTATGGATGGACTTGACCAATGTTAATAAAGTCGGATCTTAGTTCTCGCTTCCGCTAAACAAAGATCTGAGGACATCCTATTAAGGGTCACGCCCGAACGACCTTTTATCCGACCAATCAGGGCGTCGCTTACCAGAACGGGACAGTGACAGTAGGAATGTAACCTCGAAAAGGTTAACACGGGTTATTTCACTTCAATGGGATAAACATTTGAAACGAAAGACTTTCCATAGCCCACCGGTAGTACTGCCATGCCATCTTTTACACATTCCAGAATTTACATGTGTTCAGTTTCAAAAGTTTGAATTGATATTTTTGAAAGCGTAGACTGGAGTGAAGTCGCCAGTTTGAAACTGGTACCGCGAAACTCAAGAAAGCTGCTTTCTGATTGGCCAAAGTCGACTTCTTGTTAGTCATTTTATTTGTCAGTTAAATTCGCGAAAGGTCGTTCTGACATGACCTGCAATGGGATGTCAACAGGTTTTTGTTTAGCGGCATCGAGAACTAACATCTGATTTAATGAGATTGGGGATATGACCCACTTGATCTGCAAAATTTGATAAATTAGCAAACTTTTCAGAAGATGACGTTATTCGTCTCAACACCTGCATAATTTGTACTATAGTAGGGCAGGATATGCCCATATGTAGCTGTTGTAAAAACATGGTGAAACGACCATCTTTGCACCTTATCACAAAAAAGTACTTGCATCAATAGGAAGGTATGCTACACAATTTCTTGGCGCAATGTTGTTCCTCTGGATAAAAGTTATCTTGTAAGAAATCTCTGTTATCAATTATGACGGTTCTTCCTGCTGCTCTTCAAACGAGTGAGTGAGTAAGTTGTGTTTAACGCCGCTTTTAACAGTATTCCCGTTATATCACGGCGTGTCAGCTTAATGTGGGAGGAAAGCCCGAAGTGATGCAGGTCTTGGACGTTTACCACTACGGTGAATCCCACGATATCAGACCAACTACATATTAATAGTTGAATACTTAATTGATAATGGTTAATCGTGTTTCGAATCATAACGATTCGGCAAAAAATGAGTGAGTGAGTGAGTTGGGTTTAACGCCGCTTTTAACAGCATTCCAGTTATATCGCGGCATGTCAGCTTAATGTGGGAGGAAAGCCCGAAGTGATACAGGTCTTGGACGTTTACCACTTCGTTGAAACCCACGAGCACGGGTATGGTGCTGACAAACCTAGAAACATAATGGCGGCGAACCGGGATTCGAACCCGTAATCATAGGTTTCTGGCGTGCCCAAGGGACGCAACTCTGCACAGCGAATCGCGGCGCCTTAGACGACTGGGCTGAACACAATGAAGTGAGTGTGTGAGTTGGGTTTGAGGCTGTATTCCAGTTATATCCCGGCGTGTCAGCTTAATGTGGGAGGAAAGTCCGAAGTGAGACAGGTATCAGACGTTTACCACTTTGGTGAAACCCATGATCGCGGGTATGGTGCTGACAAACTGAAAGTAAATCACTGATATTTCTTATAGCTGTTTGCGAAGTGTTTCATTATAACACGATCTTTTGTTCTCCAGAGCTGGAATGTATGGACGCCAGTCTCGTTATGACGAGATCGCCCACGTGCTCAGCGACGGCAGCGTATTCTGGGTCCCCTTGTGGACAATCGCCAGCAAATGCCCCATGGATATGAGTTCCTTCCCCTTTGACACCCAGCAGTGCCCGATGATCCTGGGCTCGTGGGTGCACTCGCGCGCGGAGATGATGCTGTCATTCATGGAAAGCCCGAGCCTTGACAAGGACCTCGCCTTGTCCGGGTCGGACTTCAGCTCACCCTCTCATCCCACGTGGGAACTCATCAGAGCTGTGGCCAGCATCAAATCTGTCAATTACACCTGTTGTGAAGATTTCTTCGAGACCTTGACTGTGAAGGTGCATATCAGCCGGCGGTCGACGTTCTACCGCTTCCTTGCAGTAGGACCTGCCGCAGTGTTCGGGCTCCTAGTCCCCCTGCTGTTCCTCATACCCTCCAGTTCAGACGGGAAGACAACTTATGGTGAGTTCTACTGATACTGTCGGAGGGGAAGACAACTTATGGTGAGTTCTACTGATACTGTCGGAGGGGAAGACAACTTATGGTGAGTTCTACTGATACTGTCAGAGGGAAGACAACTCTCTGTGATTTGGACTGAAACTTCCAGGTCAGAGGGGAGACAACTCAAGGTGAGTTATACTGATACTGTCGGAGGGGAAGACAACTCTTTGTGAGTTCGACTTTCAGGTCAGAGGGGAGACAACTCAAGGTGAGTTATACTGATACTTGCAGGTCAGAGGGGAGACAACTCAAGGTGAGTTATACTGATACTTCCAGTTCAGAGGGGAGACAACTCAAGGTGAGTTATACTGATACTTGCAGGTCAGAGGGGAGACAACTCAAGGTGAGTTCTACTGATACTGTTGGAGGGGAGACAACTCAAGGTGAGTTATACTGATACTTCCAGTTCAGAGGGGAGACAACTCTTTCTGAGTTCGACTGATACTTCCAGGTCAGAGGGAAGACAACTCAAGGTGAGTTATACTGATACTTCCAGTTCAGAGGGGAGACAACTCAGGGTGAGTTATACTGATACTGTTGGAGGGGAGACAACTCAAGGTGAGTTCTACTGATACTTCCAGTTAAGAGGGGAGACAACTCAGGGTGAGTTATACTGATACTGTCGGAGGGGAGACAACTGTTTGTGAGTTCGACTTCCAGGTCAGAGGGGGACAACTCAAGGTGAGTTATACTGATACTTGCAGGTCAGAGTGGAGACAACTCAAGGTGAGTTATACTGATACCTGCAGGTCAGAGGGGAGACAACTCAAGGTGAGTTATACTGATACTTGCAGGTCAGAGGGGAGACAACTCAAGGTGAGTTCTACTGATACTTGCAGGTCAGAGGGCAGACAACTCAAGGTGAGTTATACTGATACTTGCAGGTCAGAGGGGATACAACTCAAGGTGAGTTATACTGATACTGTTTGAGGGGAGACACCTCAGGTGAGTTATACTGATACTTCCAGTTCAGAGGGGAGACAACTCAGGGTGAGTTATACTGATACTGTTGGAGGGGAGACAACTCAAGGTGAGTTCTACTGATACTGTTGGAGGGGAGACAATTCAAGGTGAGTTCTACTGATACTTCCAGTTCAGAGGGGAGACAACTCAGGGTGAGTTATACTGATACTGTCGGAGGGGAAACAACTCTTTGTGAGTTCGACTTCCAGGTCAGAGGGGAGATAACTCTAGGGACGTTCTACTGATACTGTAGGAGGGGATACAACTCTTTGTGAGTTCGACTTCTAGGTCAGAGGGGAGACAACTCAAGGTGAGTATTACTAATACTTGCAGGTCAGAGGGGAGACAACTCAAGGTGAGTTATACTGATACTGTTTGAGGGGAGACAACTCAAGGTGAGTTATACTGATACTTGCAGGTCAGAGGGGGACAACTCTTTGTGAGTTATACTGATACTTGCAGGTCAGAGGGGAGACAACTCAAGGTGAGTTATACTGATACTTCCAGTTCAGAGGGGAGACAACTCTTTGTGAGTTCTACTGATACTTCCAGTTCAGAGGGGAGGCAACTCAAGGTGAGTTCAACTAAGGTCAGGGGTCACGACGGGTTCGCTACTTATAGTGAGTTAAATACAACTTAATTGTTATCTTTTACAAGATGTCTATCTAGCGTGTAGATGTTACGTCAATAGGATTCACATCACTGTATGGTTGTTTATTATGTAAATTTTATGTTTATTGAACAGAAATTGAACTACTCTCGCTTTTTTTGATACGTAACAAACATACAATACTGAGCGAATACTCTAATATTTCTTCATGATTACCCTCTGCATGAGCTGTAGAATTGTCCCTTTTTCCATATCGTCACAAACATCAGACACAGGTCTAGTTTCTACTATAAACAGCTTCACACTCGGTCTGGCCGCTTGAAGATTCTGGGCTAGAATATGTTCCAAATATCCTTTCCTGGTCGTAAGAAACCACTGAATTGTTCGGACGACCAGGCTCGGTGACTGCGTGCTATCGTGGATTGGTGCTCATAACATCAATCACTGGATTACGTACTCCATTAATTACAGGATCCGCCCATATAGCTGGAATATTGCTGTGGCGGCGTTAAACAACAGACACAAACCATCCCAAGGGACTTCATTTACTACATTTACTTCATCGTACTGTCAGAGTAGGGAGTGGAGACACAGTGGGAATCGCGTTAATCTATTCACCAATTAGATGATGAGGCATGGGTTGCTGAAGACCTATTCTGCCCCGGGTCTTCACGGGTCGCAAAAGCAAGTAATATGAGCGGTGGAATCATCTTAGTCAATAGAAGGACATGTAAGGGACACAACTCATAATAGCCACTGGTGGCGCTACGATCGAGCCCGGTGTTCCAGCGTAGTTCGGCAAGGGTGGAAACCCTTGCCTCGGGAAGATGAATTGCAATTGGTGAAAGGCAAATATTCAAATTTCATTTGTTGAATGTATCAATCAACAGTACACGAGGTGTGATGTTTCAGGTATGCTGATAATGCTTAGTCTCACGGTGTTGATTCTTGCTTTGGAGGAGGCCATTCCGTTCAGCCATAACAACGTTCCTAAAATAGGTGAGTTGGTAGGGTGGCCCCTAGGAGGGTGGCCACGAACGCACGCACGCACACGCACGCACACACACACACACACACACACACACACACACACACACACACACAAAGCGCATCGAAACGGGATTTTATGATAGCTTCTGTCCAGATATGTTCTACGGAAAAGTCGTTTAACGAACGTTTCTCCAGCACACGGTTGAGAGCCGAGTTAGGCACAAATGGGCAATTGCTGATTCTACTAAGGCGACTCTGCTTGCCGTAAAGGTCCACTATGGTTGTCGTAAGAGGCGACTAACGGGATCGGGTGGTCAGGCTCGCTGACTTGGTTGATGCATGTCATCGTGTCCCAATTGCGTGGATCGATGCTCATGAATCCTCATGCTCAATCACTGGATCGTCTGGTCCAGACTCGATTATTTACAGACCGCAGTCTTTCAGCTGGAATATTGCTGAGTGCGGCGTTAAACAACAAACAAACAACTACTACCACTAAAACTACTACTATCTCTGTATTCACAGTTGTATTGTGTATGACGAGTTGGGCTCCAAAGCGCCACCTTGTGCATGTCCCTTAGTCCAAACACCTCTTACTTAAGTCGCCCTGAAACCTTGAACAATGACAGTTTTGTGTGGACTTGCATTCTACACTGGACCTTCACACAGTTCGAATAGTCGCCGATTTTAAAAGTCCTACAAACTTATTTAAGATTCCTTTGTTAGTCCCAAAACTAACCCTAGACCACCGGACCAGCATCTACTCAATTTTACTGGTCCTTAAGGAAATATACTAGACTTGGACCAGCGGACAAGGGTTATGTTTTCTTGTTTCAGGGTATTTCTACCTGGGCACCATGGCGCTGTGTGCGTGTAGCGTGATGCTGTCCATATTCGTCAGCAACATGGGGCAGCGGGGTGTGCGACACAAGCCCCTCCCTGGCTGGCTCAAATGGGTGAGGACAACGAGGATGACTGAAGGTCACTCTGAATTGCAGAAATAGTGTGCTTATACTGAAATTCAACATTTTATGGTTTATACAATTGTCTCCATATAACACAGAGACTTTTTAGACCTGGACCATTATTTTGTCTGATCATGTATTGGAAATGTTTAAAAGTATATGCCAATGGGAAAGAGATTTTTATATTTATTATGGATTTACGCGGATCTTTTAGCAATATCACGGGGGAAGAAACGGAACGGGCCCAGAAACGGGCTTAACACATTGTACTCATGAGGGGAATCGAATCCGGGCTTTCGGCGTGACGAGCGACCGCTTTAACCACTAGGCTACCCCACCGCCCCCATCACAACCATGGACACATTGACCGTTCACTCTTTTGCAGGTTAAGGGACGGGCCATTCTATGTCCTTGACGGGTTGGTCGGGCTGGGATACTGTATCAAATAATTTTACCCCGGGATTTACCAGAACAATTCAAAACGGTTCATTGAGCACGCTGGTTGTCCTAAACAAACTCAGTTGTTAAAAACATGCGAAAATATGCTACACCCACCTACAACAGACTCAAGCACTTACGGCTTGTGAAGATCTGGGATAGAATTGATTTCCATCCAACCCATGCATGTCGTCAGAGGCATAAGAGGCGAATAACATGATCGGGTTGTCAGGCTGGCTGACTTGGTTCATGCATGTCATCGTATCCCATCGTATCGATCGATGCTCATAATGTCAGTCACTTTTTTGAATTTTCTGGTCCAGATTCGATTTTTTATTGCTGAGTGCGGCATTAAACATCATTATACATGGCCATGCCATATGTTAAATTTTCCAATATTACAATGTATTTGAATAACGTAAGATTACTTAAGTGGCATTTACAAGTTGGTGTGATGAAGTAAGACAAGTTCTATGGATGAACAACTTCTTTATTACAATTAGTAATAAAGAAGTTGTTCATCCATAGAACTTGCCTTACTTCAAAGTAAGATTAATCTTGTTAACCATGGGCCCTAGAGCCCTGACAATGCTGTATCATCCTATAATATTGATCTTACACTTTCAGTTATGTCTCAGTCGGTTTGGGTTCCGACGGTTTTTCTGCATTGACAACTACGAGCCCGTGGAAAACGTGTACTCCGTCAGCCTCAAGAACCTGTGGACACCGGAAAGAACAACGCAGACATCTTTAGACCCGGAGAGTTCGGCGCAACCGGAAGCCACGTCTGACATGGACGATATCAGGAAATGTCTGCACTACCTGGTCGGCCAGCAGTCAGCGGAAGTGACATCAAGAAATGTACGCCAGGACTGGGTGGAGCTTGCGCGGGTCTTTGATCGGATCCTGTTTGTTGTCTTTCTTGTTCTGTATGTTCTGTTTGCTGTCAACTTCCTGACATGATCATTCGGATCGCCTCAGTCTTATAGGACATCTCGGCCAGAATGAGAGGAATCCATATTGGAACTACTTCCAATCACGTGACTATCACATGACACAACACAACCTGGGAGGAAACGTGGCCTCTGTTTACGTTGAAAATACTGCCTTTCGTCTTCTCCAATCCAAATTATTAATTATGTTGATGGTATTTTCAAGATCAACCATCATGTTTCAAGAACTACACGTGTGATTCCTACGCCCGAGGTGTTATACATCTATGCATGACGGAAGATGCCGAGTGGATCCGAGTGTGACGTGATCTAAGCAGTTCAGGCACCGTCCTAACACAACCAGATGGATATTAATTGTGCATGGCTATATGCGTCTGTTTAATAATTAATTAATCAGCAAAGATAGAAGATATGCTATAGTGTTCAAGTTATGTTGATGTGTGTAAGTTTAAGTTTAACACCGCTTTGAACATTATTCCTGTCATATCACGGCGTGTCGGCTTAATGTGGGAGGAAATTTTTCAGACTTTGACCACTTTGGTGAACGCAACACTGTACAGCGAATTGCGGCGCTTTAGACGACTGAGCCACCTGGTCCCCCAATGTGGCAGGTTAATGTCCTGAAACAACTATGATACACATATTTATCAGATATGGTGGATTTATGTGGTTATGCACAATGGTGAAATTGTATTGCTTCTACTTCAGATCAAGGGATATTTGTGTGAATAACTGAAACTTGTCTTCAGTAGAAATCAGGAACAATAACCTGCGGAGTGTGTCCTAAGATTGAAAAGTTTCGATATAAACGACTGATGGAGAGAGTGATGAGGACGAGGATAAAGTAAATGATGATAAAGGATGATATCAGAAACCTATTTTTAAAATGACCAGCTCATATCACCAGGAAATGATTCGCTTTTTTTCTGAGTCGGCGGGATACTAGTTCTCCGTCGGAGTAACAATGGTAGCACGTGTAGTGTAAGCTATCAGTCAGCCTGGTTTCGTGGGACGGTAGCGCAAGCGCAGCCTACGGGAACCTGGCTATCCGTGACCAACTCCTGTCATTTCGGGACATACCTTCTTGGAGGTTACGAATCTGCTTGGGCATGGAAAGCTATAGCTAAATAAATATAGAACAGAACATTCTTAAAATTCCTAAAAAAGACAATTTCACGCAATGTTTGTGAAGACCAACAAGTTGATTGAATGCCCTGTTTCTTTTCCTTGCTTTATGTCTCACCATCATCAGGAAGCGATGTTGAGGCATGGAGATTTTATTATTAGTCTCTTCAGAGAGGCGAGACCTTGCCTTGATGATACTGACCTGTTTCCAAAAAAAGGGTTGATACAATATTGTTGAATGTTTAACCCACCTGACTCAAAGTCAAGTGGGCTTATGTCATGGGCTGTTTGTCTGGCGCACCACCCCTAGACTCACGTGCTTGTTCCCACCAATAATGGCACCACACCCACTTTGTTCAAGCTGTTCCGATCCGATTTGACAGCCATATTAAACAAACTATTTGTTGTCATTACTCGGAAAGGTTTTTTTCAAAGCTAGGTAAAACTTCTCAAGGCCATTAGTTTCAGATTATAATGAAATTTGGTATATGTAACGTTAGTATAGTGGGGCTTAACACACATGGTCCGTTTTTGCGGTATCTTAAATTCTGATCTTTATTTGACCATTGCACTTCAAATGCAGTCCCTTACTATGTTCGAATCTGATTTTCAAGCATTTACATACTCTCAGAAGGCATTTTTGGCTCTGTACACTTCTGAAGGAGTTGAAGTTTGGAGCATGTATGTCCTCATCTTTCCGAGGCAAGGGAGTTAACTTACTCTAAGAGTCAAGTTTCCACCCTTGTCGAAGTAGACTTGTTGAAGGCTATATTGTAATAACACGGGTCTTCCTGAAGTGCATCAAATCACGTGAGCACCTTGATTAAATGCCTGTTGACGGTGCATATGCTTTGCACATCCTGCAATCGACCGAATTATGCAAGGTAGTTTACGAAGAGGATGTTGTTTTCGTGACTCCATTATTCCAGCCTAGTTCGGCAGGGGTGGAAACTGGACTTTTACAATCAGTTAGCTGCCCTGCCTCGGAAAGATGGTTTCTCCCTATAATGACATAGTTTGTCCAAATCGTTAAATTAGGTTTTAGACGTCAGTAAAAAGAGAGAGTATTTGAATGTCGATGCCGACATCAACTTTTATTAAGCGACTGTTTTTGTTGACATTTCAAACTGTTGTCTATAAATCCATGTGAGCTACAGTGCTAAGAGATATTAAAAAGCAATGATAGCGTAATATGTTAGGATTTTGCAGCAATAATACACCATATATGCATTGTACGATTGTCCGCGCTTGAGTTGAGGATAGACGTTAGAGCCTGTGCATACATGTATAATTCAAATCTGTGACCTTTTATTCAGGCTGCAATGTTCGGAACATATTCAGATTAAAGTGCCGAAGCGTGATGTGATAGAATTGTGTGTAATAGTTGAATCACGTTGTCACTGTATGTGAAATTGTCAGGATTCTTTATGTGTATATCTGTAATCTTTATGTGAATTGTATGATAATTGTCACTGAAGTCTCATAATGATCCTGTCTATTCCATTGTATAGACATATTGTATTGTACTGCAGTTCCAAACCCCTATTCGACACACCCCACCCTTCGCATGCCCCTCTACCAACCTGCAGTTCCAAACTCCTACTCGACACCCAACCCCTCGCCTGCCACTCCGCCAACCAGCAGTTCCAAACCCCTATTCGACACACACCATCCTTCGCATGCCCCTCTACCAACCAGCAGTTCCAAACTCCTACTCGACACCCCTCCCCTCGCATCGCCCTCCCCTTAGAACGCAAATTTCGCTCGTCTGTGAATTGCTTTAGTGAGCGCTCCTCTCAATAACAGAAAAGGTAATGGTGGAAACCTATCTGTATTGCTTCATCAAGGTTGTGGCAAAACATAATATATATTTTGTTTTAATAAAATGTGATAAGCAAACCCATTTCTCTATTTTTACCAAGCATCTAGAAGTTTGAGTGTCCTTGTGGATGTCACACATGTCCTGTGCGTGAAGCAATGGTACATCTGATTCTCCTTTTGAAAATGAACATGTAGTCCCTACCAAAAAAGAACCAATACAGCGAACGCGGATGCAACTCTCACACGAGGGGACATGGTGAGGTGAATTGGGGCTCCACGTCGCGTTCAAGATTATTGCACTTTTATAGTGACATTTGTGTGCCTGTTTTGTTATGATGCGTTCTCGGGCAGACAATCCATTAGAACACGAGGGCGGTCTACACTCACACTAAAGCATAAAATGACACAGACACAGATAGGGAAAACAGAACAAATGTTGGACAGACATAATTAAGATGCTACATTTGGAATTCACATAAAACGTAAGAGCTTGAATAGTAAAACCATCGTGAAAATCCTGGTTATAACTGGTCCCCAGCAATCTATGCTGGTCGTAAGAAGCGACCGATGGATCGGCTAATCAGGCTCGGAGACTTGGCTGACTGCCTGTCATTGTACCCCGAAAGCGTGGATCGTGGCTCCACATATCAATCACTGGGTTGTTTGATCGAGGCTTGAACATTTACAGACCGCCGTCGCATAGTTCGATTTTGTGCGGCATTAAACAACAAACGAACAAAGAATAATGAGACATATTTCGTCACAACAAATACCACACACACATATCGAGCATGTACAGCAAGATGATATCGATGGTATAGCATTCACAATCTGCATTGTCCCTGAACTATAACTACACTGTAAGATACATCACTTGTTTATTTTCCCTTAAGAAATAACTGCAAAATCGTACTTGTTAACCGTTTTTTGTTATGGGTATGCTCACCTTCATACAAAATAAAACTGACCCTCTGTAAAATACAAATTACACTACACTACGATGAGTGAGTGAGTATGGTTTTACGCTGCATTTAGCAATATTCCAGCAATATCATGGCGGGGGGCACCAGAAATGAGCTTCATGTACCCACTGGGGTGACGAGCTTAACGCTTTACAAACTAGGCTACACCACCGCCCCTACAGTACGATGACAGATATTAGTAAGTGTATAACATACATTTAAACACACACAGGCTAAATGGCCATACGAAGGGTGACGAAGCGAAGTTTTAGACGCACTGTGAAGGATGCATAGTACACTCTTAACATATATTAAGTATGACATTTTCCAAGATAACAGGCTGCATTGAACCATTTACAACCAGGCAGTATTGTTGTGCAGGCGTCAAAATTTCGAAATGGGAAGGTGATATTGAACAAAATTGGCTGCCACGTTGTCAACAAATATATCCAACTGCAAGGGCCAATTTCTACAGCCATCCACGCGGACATGATGACACGATAGGGGATGGAGCTCCTTCCTTTGTCGTTGTTAAGAGGTGGGTAGCGGTGTTAAAGTGGGGAAGAGAGAGCCTCGAAGATGATCAAAGATCAGAAAGACCTTCAACTGCTACCACGAAGGAAAATGTTGATAAAATACATGGTATGATTATGGATTATTGACGACTCGTATTATACCCAGTACTGTAGGCATCCCTCATGTGAGAGTTCAGAATATTTCAGGAATGAACGGCACATGGCAAAGGTTTCAGCAGGCTGGGTTCAAATGCTCCTGGTCTAAACCGCTTCAGGTTTATTATCTCTAATAAGATTTTACGTCGTTTAGAAGCTGATGTTGTTGAGCGATGTGTAACAATGGATGAGTCTTTGGTTCACCTCTATCAACCAGAGACTACACACCAGTCAAACAGAGGAATGTCTCCTCCTAGGAAGAAGGCAAGGTCTGTTCACCTGCTGGCAAGGTGGTGGCTTCGGTTTTCTAGGATGTCTAGCTACTGATGGACTACCTACTCAAAGAACAGACCATTTCCTTGTATTGGCCAATATTATGCCAATCTGCCAAGGCAACTGCGTGTGAATTTCAAGACTAAACGTCGCGAAAAACTCACTGAAGGTGTATGCGTCTGTTTTCGCCTTGGCAGTAATGAATGACTGTGGCTTCGAACTCACTGAACATTATCCGTATTCACTATATTCGGCACCGTCACACTTTTACCCCTTCCCAAACTCGAAGAAAGAACTATCTGGCAAGGATGATGCTACTGATGATGACGTCATTTCTGCTGTGGGGGACAGTTTACTCCACCGGGAGGAAGCCTTCTCCATATGTGGGGCCCAGGCACTCCCAACATCGTGTGGGCAACGGAGGGAATTATGTTGAAAAATAATTAGCAGCCAGCTCCATCAACGCATCTATCCTACTTAGGCTCAGAACTTCCCAGCCATCCCTCGTAATGAGTTGGGCTTAAGGCCGCCTGGATCAGTATTTCAGTTATATCACGGCGTGACAGTATTTTAGTTATATCACGGCGTGACAGTATTTCAGTTATATCACGGCGTGGCAGTATTTCAGTTATATCACGGCGTGACAGTATTTCAGTTATATCACGGCGTGACAGTATTTCAGTTATATCACGGCGTGGCAGTATTTTAGTTATATCACGGCGTGACAGTATTTCAGTTATATCACGGCATGACAGTATTTCAGTTATATCACGGCGTGGCAGTATTTCAGTTATATCACGGCGTGACAGTATTTCAGTTATATCACGGCGTGGCAGTATTTCAGTTATATCACGGCGTGGCAGTATTTCAGTTATATCACGGCGTGGCAGTATTTCAGTTATATCACGGCGTGACAGTATTTCAGTTATATCACGGCGTGGCAGTATTTCAGTTATATCACGGCGTGACAGTATTTCAGTTATATCACGGCGTGGCAGTATTTCAGTTATATCACGGCGTGACAGTATTTCAGTTATATCACGGCGTGGCAGTATCATGATGAAGATTAGCCGGAAGAGGTGCAGGTCGTTAGTCTCAACGAGTTTAGTGAAACATACGAACAAGACCATTCAATCAAATGGATCAATCAAGCAGGGACATGTTAAATACTGTAAGAAAAATAACGGATCAACCAAATATGATTTGATAACTACTATCAGAAGAAAGCGGATCAATCAAATATGAATCTAATAAATGCTGTGAGAGAAAAAAGGATCAATCAAATATGGATAGGATAAATACTGTGAGAGAAAACGGATCAATCAAACATGGATAGGATAAAATACTGTGTGAAGACAAAGGATCAATCAAATGTGGATAGGATAAATACTGTAACAAGAAAACGGATCAATCACATATGGACATGATAAATCATGTAACAAGAAAAGGGATCAATCAAACATGGATAGGATACAATACTGTGTGAAGACAAAGGATAAATATAATATGAATAGGATAAATACTATGAGAAGAAAACGGATCAATCAAATATTGATATGATAAAATACTGTGAGAAGAAAACGGATCAATCAAATATGGCAGGTTCAAGTGTTTATACATATGTACACAATCGGATTTATTAGTTAGTAGTAAGGTTGTATGACCTTGTTGCCATGTAACTAGTTAGTATCTCGGGTTGTTTGTTTGTTTGTTTGTTTCCTTCATACTTGAGATTTGTCAGTGGGTAGTGTGGCTGACTTTGTACAGCACAGGTCCATACATTAATAATAATAAACGTCATCAGCCTCACACCGCACAGTTGTTTGTGGACATTACCCTTCCCGGCCACAACAAGCACTGGTACACAAACATGGGTATGCCATATACTGTAATAAGAAAACAGAGGACTACAAGAGGAAAATCAAATCAAGATATAATAAATATAATAGAAGGAAAACGGATCAATCAAATATGGAGACGATAAATACTATGAGAAGAAATGAATCAGTCAAATGTGGATCTGATAAATACTACAAGAGGAAAATCAAATCAAGATGCAATGAATATTATAGGAGGAAAACGGATCAATCAAATATGGAGACGATAAATACTATGAGAAGAAATGGATCAGTCAAATGTGGATCTGATAAATACTACAAGAGAAAAATCAAATCAAGATACAATATATATTATAGGAGGAAAACGGATCAATCAAATATGGAGACGATAAATACTATAAGAAGAAATGGATAAGTCAAATGTGGATCTGATAAATACTACAAGAGGAAAATCTAATCAAGATACAATAAATATTAAAGGAGGAAAACGGATCAATCAAATATGTGTGTGAATCCTACCCTACGTGACCTCCAATGCGTGATAAATTTCGTTTCAAGGTCAACGCATTGAAACCCAACACTAAGCTTGACCTCCATATCATCTTATCTCACACGGGCGGGTCGCTTCATGGTGTTGTGTACATGTTGACACACTGCACATCAGCCGGACATTCACCACAGTGACCAAAGTGCTGCTACCATGGCTTTCAACGCCTGCTTGAACATCTTTGTGACTGTTTACTGCGTTGTGTGTCTGTACCCGGGGCTGCCCCATGTTGAAGGTAAATACTTGGAGCAGTTTCTGTATCAGCTTTCTATCCTTTGGACGCTACAGTCCCGCGTTGATATGTCAGGTGACTTGTTTACTGGTAGGCGTCTGTGGGATATTGGTGGCCTAGTTAGATGTCTACACATCTCATTAATTGACTGTCGTCCTGACAATTGCCGATTGGTGTTATTATTGGTAATATGCAGTCGTACGTGACATGGAGTGAAAACGGTGACAGTGGTTAGTGAGAGAGTGAATTAAACTTTTCGCATCGGCAGTGCTGAAGCCATGTAACGATGGGACACGGACGTGGTTAGTACAATGCTTTGAACAGCATGCAGTTAATTTACGACGAGGCATCTAAGTGTGGGAGGAATGTCCGAATTAACTGAGGTCGTAGAGGTTGACCACTAAAGAGAAACTCACGGGACTCCCGACCCCAACCAAATCCACCCAACCCCAACCCCTCCCCATCCCCCCGATCCCTCCTAGCGCTACGACTATCATAAGCCTATGTTAAAGTATGGGAGTTACGATCACCTTAGCGCTAAGATCGCTTTGTGGAACGGGGCCCTGGTTTGTTAGCGCCATAAGTGCTCGTGACCCCCTACATAAAGCTGATATACTGTTATGTGACCCACATACTATTTAAGGCGATGTAAAAACAACAGTACATGTACAGCACAACAATCCCCGAGGGTATTGATGTAGAGGAGATTCCAGTACCCCTTGGTTACCTTACCCACAGATTCCGGGACACAATAGTTGCCTTGAAAATACAAATTTTCGAGACTGAGCCAGCCAGCCCAGTCTTGTTTATATTAAAAGCGGACTAAGCTTAGACCAGTTAGCAATCCCAGCACTTTTTGTACAACAAGATCAACATCACCGCGCCGTGGGTATGCTGCAAATGGTGGTCACACCCGATATTGACATTGTTTGCTGAGTTCTTACACAAAGCCTTTTTCAAGATACTATGTTGACCGCCATGTTTGTGTGGCAGGTAGCACTGACTAGGCGAGGTGCACTGGTGTTGATGGGGCCGTGGTCGGACCTCAATCACCCCATCTATGTTGACCGCCATGTTTGTGTAGCAGGTAGCACTGACCAGGCGAGGTGCACTGGTGTTGATGGGGCCGTGGTCGGACCTCAATCACCCCATCTATGTTGACCGCCATGTTTGTGTAGCAGGTAGCACGGACTAGGCGAGGTGCACTGGTGTTGATGGGGCCGTGGTCGGACCTCAATCACCCCATCTATGTTGACCGCCATATTTGTGTTGTAGCACTGACTAGGCGAGGTGCACTGGTGTTGATGGGGCCGTGGTCGGACCTCAATCACCCCATCTATGTTGACCGCCATATTTGTGTTGTAGCACTGACTAGGCGAGGTGCACTGGTGTTGATAGGGCCGTGGTCGGACCTCAATCACCCCATCTATGTTGACCGCCATGTTTGTGTTGTAGCACTGACTAGGCGAGGTGCACTGGTGTTGATGGGGCCGTGGTCGGACCTCAATCACCCCATCTATGTTGACCGCCATATTTGTGTTGTAGCACTGACTAGGCGAGGTGCACTGGTGTTGATAGGGCCGTGGTCGGACCTCAATCACCCCATCTATGTTGACCGCCATGTTTGTGTTGTAGCACTGACTAGGCGAGGTGCACTGGTGTTGATGGGGCCGTGGTCGGACCTCAATCATCCCATCTATGTTGACCGCCATGTTTGTGTAGCGGGTAGCACTGACTAGGCGAGGTGCACTGGTGTTGATGGGGCCGTGGTCGGACCTCAATCATCCCATCTAAGTTAACCGCCATGTTTGTGTTGTAGCACTGACCAGGCGAGGTGAACTGGTGTTGATGGGGCCGTGGTCGGGCCTCAATCATCCCATCTAAGTTAACCGCCATGTTTGTGTTGTAGCACTGACCAGGCGAGGTGCACTGGTGTTGATGGGGCCGTGGTCGGGCCTCAATCACCCCATCTATGTTGACCGCCATGTTTGTGTTGTAGCACTGACTAGGCGAGGTGCACTGGTGTTGATGGGGCCGTGGTCGGACCTCAATCACCCCATCTATGTTGACCGCCATGTTTGTGTTGTAGCACTGACCAGGCGAGGTGCACTGGTGTTGATGGGGCCGTGGTCGGACCTCAATCATCCCATCTAAGTTAACCGCCATGTTTGTGTTGTAGCACTGACCAGGCGAGGTGCACTGGTGTTGATGGGGCCGTGGTCGGGCCTCAATCACCCCATCTATGTTGACCGCCATATTTGTGTTGTAGCACTGACTAGGCGAGGTGCACTGGTGTTGATGGGGCCGTGGTCGGACCTCAATCATCCCATCTAAGTTAACCGCCATGTTTGTGTTGTAGCACTGACTAGGCGAGGTGCACTGGTGTTGATGGGGCCGTGGTCGGGCCTCAATCACCCCATCTATGTTGACCGCCATATTTGTGTAGCAGGTAGCACTGACTAGGCGAGGTGCACTGGTGTTGATGGGGCCGTGGTCGGACCTCAATCACCCCATCTATGTTGACCGCCATGTTTCTGTTACAGGAGGCATTGACCAGGGCGAGGTATTCTGGGAGTCGAAAATAATATCAGACTTCCTCGTCAATTCGGGCTACGTGAAGGAAGCGCGGCCTGTAAAATCTGCCAACGCCTCCGTTGTCGTCACAATCTATCCCATATTCCTCAGCATCGACAACATAGTGAGTACCCGTATGTTAGCAGTCTCATATCCCGCTTCCGGTCTCATTGCCACGATATCTTTATATAACTGTAGGAATATTGACGGTTACTTCTCCAACAGTTAAAGATAATACACCTTCAGTTTTCTTTATAAGTTACTTAAATACTTAAAAACAGTTCCAGTCGTAAAATCAAAGGCACGAGATTGTGCAAACGTTCCCGCCTGGGATACGCAAAGGATAAAACCCGGCCGAAGGCTTGGTTGAAAATGTTGTTATTCCTGATACATATACAATAAACTACGGTTATAACGAACTCAAAGGGACCACGAATTTCAATTCGTTATAACCGCAGTTCGTTATAAGCGTTTTCGTTATAACCGTAGTTTACATATATCTGATATGTACGATACGGAAGCACCCGCGGGTAATACCCTCTTTATAACATGATACCATTCTGAAAATTATCGAAGTTTAAGACAAATTATGTCTTTGAATGGCATTTAGAAATGATACACTTAAGGAAAAGAATTCATGTATGTCAACTTCTTTATTATGAGGAAACACAACGTTTCGGAGTATATGCTTTCTCCTTCATCCGGTGAATGAATGCCTTCACACAGTTGCTGATGGTCTTGTTGTACTTGAAGATGGGTGTTACTGTATCATCTCCATGGTGATACCGCCTCCGTGGTCTAGTGGTAGAGCGTCCGCCCGGAGAGCGGAAGGTCCGGGGTTCGATCCCCGGCCGCGTCATACCAAAAGACGTTAAAAAATGTTATGTGTTGTTACCCTGTCTGGCGCTCAGCATGAAGGGGCTAAAACAAGGACTGGTCGGCTCGGAGTCAGTATACTGTGTCTGAGTGGGGTATTCATGTTAAATTGCGCATGGTATCTCAGTGTGCTAGCACTATAAATCAGCATCAGTCCGGATTAGTACAAGCAGCCACACACACGTACATGCACGTCGCTACATAAGTGCAATAATCTTGGACGCGACGTTAAACCCCATTTCACCTCACCTCACCTCCATGTTGATGTCGTATCAAGTCTTTGAATGGCATTCATTCACCAGATGAAGGAGTAAGCATATACTCCGAAACGTTTCCTCACAGTCAAGAAGTTGACATCCATAAATTCCCTTCATTAAGACAACTTTCAATTTGAAATTCACCATAGTAAATTTCGAAACTGCGTAGGAATATAAGCCTGCGTGAACGGCCCTATTTATGATATAGTGCCATATGATTTGCAGCCAACATAATGTTCCCATTACAAAATTCTTATTCCTAATATCTTACTTTTACGATACGGAAGCTCTCGATGGCAATACTCTCTTTATCATGTGATGTCATTCTGAAAATAAGTTGAAGACTAGCGCCAAATGATTTGTAGCCATGACTGCCAACATAATGTTCTCATAATACAATTACTATTCCTAATATATGATATTTACGACACAGAAACACTCTTCTTGTTCCTGATATATGATATTTACGACACAGAAACACTCTTCTCTTTCCTAATATATGATATTTACTATACGTAAACACTTCATATTCCTAATATATGTTATTTACGATACGGAAACACGCTTCTTATGCCTAACGTGTTATTTACGTTACAAAAACACGCTTCTTATTCCTAATAGATGATATTACGATACGGACACACGCTTCTTATTCCAACTAGATGGTATTTACGACACGGAAACACTCTTCTTATTCCTAATATATGATATTTACGATATGGAGACCCACTCGGCTAATAATTTATATTGATGAAAACGCTGTAGCTGAATTCATGGTTACGTCATTTCAGAATGAAGCCGCCAACACTCTGACTACAAGGCTCATCTTGTTCCAGGTGAGTATGTCTGTTCCGTGGTACGGTTATAAAATTAAGTACAATACCTTGTGAGTCTGGACACGTGTTAGGAAAAATAGTTTGTAGCAGTATGCCTGTTCCGTGGTACGGTTATAAAATTTAGTACAATACCTTGTGAGTCTTGACACGTGTTAGGAAAAATAGTTCATAGCATTTGTTGGTTTGCTTCTTTATGGATTTTAAAAAAAATGTTTCATTTTATTGAAATAAAATGGAGCCTGTTCCAATCTATCCATATCTATTTTCTTCAAGCAATGGACGGACAGCAGACTGACATGGAAGCCATCAGAGTATGGAGGTGTGGCCAGCGTGAGACTCCCCTCGTTAAGGGTGTGGCTGCCGGATATAGTGCCTTATAACACGTGAGTCAGGTGCATGATTTTCGCATTTATTACTTGAGAAAAATAAACATGTCACGTCGATTTTGCTAAAAATAAAAAAGGAGACACACAAAAGACGTTTTGGCCCGCCTCAGTCTGTATTTCAACATACAACGGAAATAATACTTCGAAACCCTGCTATCTCAATATCCTGGGGACAATTGTATAATAAAAAATACCCTGCGCCCAATCGCTACTGTTTTAACCGTATTACAATACACGCCAATACAACAGGCGCCCAATCAGCTTAAACGCGAGAGAAATCCTGTGTCAAACTTAATGAGAACAGAGCTGGTGATTGGACGTCACTTCCGAGACGAAGCTTTGTAGGCGAATGAGTCCAGGGTATTTATCATAATTAAACCTTGGATAATCAAGGATGGTCATTGACAGAATGAGAAAAGATCGAGCACTTATTATTTACACAGACAATAAAAAAATGAGCAAACCTATTTGACATCCTTGTGAAAATTGTGTTAAAGTTGTTAAGAATTATACTTTGCCCTTTCATGTTTTTGCATGTTTGTTTTTTTATTTACAAGCACACTTCATGCATATGTAAGACTGACATGTCTCAAAAAGGCTTACTGGAAGTGTAAGGATGTTTCTGATGTTTGAACATAAGCAATCTATTTCTTAGGACACGAAGGCAAACATATTGTGAAATAATTATCTTAGGCTATGGATTTTCTCATACAGGAAACTACGGTTATAACGAACTCAAAGGGACTACTTATTTTAGTTCGTTATAACCGTAATTCGTTATAAGCATATATACAGCATAACTACAGCATATAATCGGGACTAAAATGTTAGTTCGTTATATCCGTTAGTTCGTTATAAGCGTGTTCGCTATAACCGTAGTTTACTGTAGTTAGATTTTCTCTTAAATGTAAAAAAGGCTGCTGTTTCACACTTATAGCCACGTTTTTGTCCCTGATGATGTCAGAAGTACGAAAGGTGAAAGTGTTAGACAAGGCAGTCAAGAAAGGCTGGTGTCAGCTTGTCTCATGTTGTTCCACTCACTGACAGTGGTGGGTGGATTTTGACGTTCACGTACACGTCTACCAAGGTGCTGACTGAGTGCTGGCCATGGCATTACCTGGATGTTTTGCTGGTGAAGGAATAGGGTCACAATCCTGGCACGATGAGCACGTGCATTATCATCTTGAAAGATGAAACGTTGCCCAACACGTTGTCCAATGATGTCCCGTCGTATTGACCTGTGAACTCTTGCACGGACCCATGGAGCTCAGTTCGGCCAGTCATTGTGAATCCACCCCATGCCATTATGGACAAACCCCCAAATCGATCATGCTTGCCGTAAAAGGCGACTATGCTTGTCGTAAAAGGCGACTAACGGGATCGGGTGGTCAGGCTCGCTGACTTGGTTGATGCATGTCATCGATCCCAATTGCGTGGATCGATGCTCATGATATTAATCACTGGATTGTCTGGTCCAGACTCGATTATTTACAGACCGCCGTCATATAGCTGGAATATTGCTGAGTGCGGCGTTAAACAACAAATCAACCAACCAACCAACCCAAAACGATCATGCAGCACGACGTTAACGTAAATAAAACGCTCAATAGGACGTCTGCAAACCTGATTCAGTCGGTCATGGAAGTCGAGATTGAACCTCGATTCGTCAGAAAACATGACAAGAGCCCAACGTTGGTTATATCAGTGCTGACGTTCCCTACACCACTGACGCCCCTGATTCAAATGACGTGCAGTACGTTGTTGGATGACACGTGGGCGTCTTGCACGCAACTGTGCAGACCATTTCGCTCCGTCTAGGCCTGTGGTCTTTCACCAGTTGCCTGTCGCATTCGGTCCCTCAATCGATTGACAGTTTGCAACCGATTTCTTACTGTCGTCGTTCTGACTATTCTGTCCTGGGGCGGATTTGTTGCCCTTTGGCATCCAGAGCGGCGTCGATCAGTGACGTTATGTGTTGGGTGGTATTGGGCAACAATCTGCTGATGTCAGATTGAGAAATATGCAGCGTTTGGGCAACAATATTCTGGCGTTTGCTTACCTGCAACATGGCTATCGCACGTAAACGTTCATCGCGTTGCAACGTCGCATGATCAATGCTGTTTCTTCTTTAAGAATTAAATGTGTTTAATAAAGTGTCTTTGAATGTTTGCTTCCAAGAAAACAATATGCGTCTGCTCACAACCCAGTCTGAGAGACGATGGTAAATCTGGCATACCACCTCTTGCACGCGGTGTCCGAGGTCACGTGCTTCATGACCATTACGATGTTGTGTTTGGGCGCTTGATTGCTTCGGAAATGTTTTTGCTATATAAATCACTTACTTTCAATGCCAGATATTCCTGTAGTTTCACCTTAAAACAAGATATCCAATATCTTTTTTACATAGTATAATTATATTCCAGGGCACCAAGTACAGCCTCAGATCCCCTGTATGAAGAAACAGTTGACGTGTCGAATGACGGCACCATGAAATGGGCACCATTGATCCTCGTGTCATCACCATGTCCCCTAGATGTCACCAATTTCCCATTTGATACCCAATCCTGCACGATCGTCTTTGGTTCTTGGATGCACACAAGACAACACATGGATATGAGGTTCTTCAAGGACGGAGCGAAAGAGATGGATATTGACGCCTCAGACAGTTCCATGGGCTTGCCAATTGTTGAACATCCGTATTGGAACATCAAAGACGACAAGGTGAAAGCCAAGCTGTCTTACGTAACGTATGCGACGTATGAATTCACTATACTAACCATGACGGTGGAGGCGAAGAGGAAAGCTTCCTTCTTCAAGTACCTGGCCATAGGGCCTGGAGCTCTCATTGGCTTCCTGGTTCCCATGATGTTTTTACTGCCTGCCAGGTCCAAGGAAAAGAATACGTTTGGTGAGATATATTTAAGACATTAACGTGTGTTTACAGATTTGAGGTGCGCTCTAATGCTACGGTTTAGTCTGGAGCCGACGTACCAATGTGTAGTATATTTACTCGAGTTTTGCAAATTGTTTTGTATATTCTCCTTATTTCGCGTTGCGGAATATTGTGTGCATGGTGCACAGGTCCCAAATGTAAAGGCTGCAATAAACGCTGGCGGCAGAAGGCAGGTGGATGGGTGCCAATTTGATAAGCTTGAATCCTGAGATTTTCTTGGGTTTCTACACAGGTTTTCAACCATGTGGTGTTTCCCGAGGTGGTGTTTCCGTTCCGTTCCCAGCAAAATCTTAAACTTGTCTCTATTGACCCAACAGCAGATGGGTACCAGGTGGGAATGAAATGCAGAACCAGCACCTAAGAGGCAGCTTGGGTTATTGAAGAATACAAATCAAAGGCACACTGGCTCTTTGACCGGGACTATTATTTTTGTTGTCATTGTTGTTGTTTCTATTCACGTGAACGAAATACACCCGATTGTATCTCCTCCCTTTGCACTCTCGGTGCAGGTATGCTGATGATCATCGGGCTCATTCTCCTCATCTCGGTACTAGCTGAGGCCATTCCCCTCAACCACAGCAGCACACCACGAGTAGGTGAGTAGCATTGCTAGCCGAGGCCATTCCCCTCAACCACAGCAGCACACCACGTGTAGGTGAGTATCAGTACTAGCCGAGGCCATTCCCCTCAACCACAGCAGCACACCACCAGTAGGCCAGTGCGACCCTCTCTTTCTTACCACTTCCTGTCATCTGAGGCGTCGCAGTTTTCTATGCAGAGTTGCGTCTCTTGAGCCGGCCAGAAACCTGATCGTGGGTTCGAATCCCGACTCACCCCGATTATGTTTCTAGGTTTGTCGGCACCTTACCCATGCCTGTCGGTTTCATCAAAGTGGTAAACGACTGAGACCTGCATCTCTCTAGGCTTTCCTCCCAGTGAAGCTAACGCCGGGATATAACTGGAATACTGTTCAAAGCAGCGTTAAAGCCAACTCACTCACTCTTAATGCGTTTGTGGATAGGTGTCAAACAACAGAAACACTCTTCACGGATGACGATTTTATTTATCCATTCACTCACTGACATTAACCCAAAGACAGGCACACATGCACACACACGCACGCACATATACGCAGAAACACACACACATACATACACACATCCTTACAAATATTTACGCGTATGGAAGCTGGTTTGGCAGCTATTCGCGACTGGTTATTCTCTGGCGTTGATGTTTTGAATCAATTATTAAAACATAAGGTTTTACGACGTGGAAGATCCAAACTCACTGTACACGGTGCATGGATGCAATGTTGATGAAGATGTACTGGGTTCTCATCGCACTTTGTTTCTTTCAGGTCTCTTCTATCTGATCACACTCACGCTGATTTGCTTTAGTATGATCCTCTCTATAATCGTCAGCAACCTCAGCGTCAGGGGCGCCAGACGCCGGCCCCTGCCACAGTGGCTACACCAGGTGGGTGAGTGAGTGAGTGAGTGAGTGAGTGAGTGAGTGGGTGAGTGGGTTTGGGTGAGTGGGTGGGTTTGGGTGAGTGGGTAGGTTTGAGTGGTTTGGTGAGTGGGTTTGGGTGAGTGGGTGGGTTTGGGTGAGTGGGTGGGTTTGGGTGAGTTGGCGGGTTTGAGTGGGTGGGTGAGTGGGTTTGGGTGAGTGGGTGGGTTTGGGTGAGTGGGTGGGTTTGAGTGGGTGGTAGAGTGGGTTTGGGTGAGTGAGTGAGTTAGTGTTTACCGCCGCTTCTAAGAGCAGTTCAGTTAACGTGCCAGTAAAAATGAGGAAGAAGGCCCAATGTGATTGGGTTAATATCCCTCACAAATCTGCTAACACATACGGGTACAATAGTGATCAACCATGAATTTTGATTGAGGTAAATCGGGCATTTGAAAGCATGAAACTCCCTCTACAACTTCAGCTTATTCTTTGTCAAGCTTATGCCTAATATCTGGTAAAATCCATATTACCAAATGACATAACTGGAGGGATTAAACAAAGTTTGTCAATTTCGTCTTTTCTCAACAGGCATGTTTAAGCCGAAATGGCCTACGGAGAATTTTGTGTATCGACAAGTACTCGCCCGTGGACAATTTGTTCGCCGAAACTTTGCGGGAGACGGAGGACATGTCTACGCATGGGCAACCGGAAGTTCCGAGAGAGAGAGAAATGGACAGCGTCCACACAAGTGAAATGAAGGATGTTTGCAAATATTTGAGATACATTTGTGGGAAAATGTCGGCCGAAGACTCCTACAAAAACGTGAACCAGGACTGGGAGGAACTTGCACGGGTGGTGGACCGAGTCCTCTTCGTCATATTCTTCCTCCTGTACGCACTTATGGCGGTGACCTTGTTGACATAGGGGGTCCACGTGGAGATGCACGCTTGCTGAAAGAAGGGTATGGTTGTCCTGAAGACAGAGGTCAATCATGTCAAGCAGAGGTCAATCATGTCAAGCAGAGGTCAATCATGTCAAGCAGAGGTCAATCATGTCAAACAGAGGTCAATCATGTCAAGCAGAGGTCAATCATGTCAGGCAGAGATGTCGCTTTTTATCACCCGTCCATCAATATAACGAAGGGAGAAGGGAAAACCAAGAAGAGGCTTCACAGACTTTTCCAATGTAAGAATCGAACACGGGCCTTCAGCGAAGAAGCCAGCACCTTTACCACGAGGCCATCTAACCACCCCTTGGGAAATTCAAGTTTCTGTTCAGTGATCCATTCATATCATTTTCACCGCTATTTGGCCTTTGCGCCCAATGGTTTGTATGTAACAGGGTAAAGGAGAAAAAAATCAGTTGTGCGTTGCTAATTGAAAATAAATAAACCAGACATTTAACCATTGTGAGTGGACAGAACACCTGAACTGTTTGAATGAATACAGGTAATAATAATAATCCTAATAATCAAAACAACCATCATCATCATAATAATAATAAGTAATTGGCATGGAAGCTCAATAAAGATGTTTTTAAAAATCCCAAACTATCAAAAGGCACCAGTTCATCACTACACCTATCTATGTGCCAAGTTTGTTGAAGAAATATGTGACAGTTTCCAAGATCTGCTCAGGAAACGACATCATGCATGGTCGGACAGATAGACTGACGTTGTCCATTCCACGCCATAGATGTGCAGTAAATTTGAACCCGATGCTAAACCCCAATTTGCCCCACTGCGCCGACATATTGAATTAAATGAGTTCAAGTTTTGTACTGAAACGATAAGATACTGTATTCAGCTTAACATCCATGTACATGTCCATTCCGTCATCATAATGTTGTCTTCATCTATCACAGGGATGTGTTTAAGACTTTGTCTAACAAATAATCATAGTATTATCTTGCTTTCATTGCAATCTTTGGTTGAAAATGTAAAACAATGTTGTTTTTTATGAAGTCATATATTGGGCACATTTGGTCATTAAACAGATATAAACCTGATTGAAATATGACCTTATTATTTATTGCAGTAAAACGTTACACTATACACTGATGCTATGTGGTGATTACATGTACTATACACTGATGCTATGTGGTGATTACATGTACTATACACTGATGCTATGTGGTGATTACATGTACTATACACTGATGCTATGTGGTGATTACATGTACTATACACTGATGCTATGTGGTGATTACATGTGCTATACACCGATGCTGTGTGGTGATTACATGTACTATACACTGATGCTATGTGGTGATTACATGTGCTATACACTGATGCTGTGTGGTGATTACATGTACTATACACTGATGCTATGTGGTGATTACATGTACTATACACTGATGCTATGTGGTGATTACATGTACTATACACTGATGCTGTGTGGTGATTACATGTACTATACACTGATGCTGTGTGGTGAATACATGTACTATACTCTGATGATGTGTGGTGATTACATGTACTATACACTGATGCTGTGTGGTGAATACATGTACTATACTCTGATGATGTGTGGTGATTACATGTACTATACACCGATGCTATGTGGTGATTACATGTACTATACACTGATGCTATGTGGTGATTACATGTACTATACACTGATGCTGTGTGGTGATTACATGTACTATACACTGATGCTATGTGGTGATTACATGTACTATACACTGATGCTGTGTGGTGATTACATGTACTATACACCGAAGCTATGTGGTGATTACATGTGCTATACACTGATGCTATGTGGTGATTACATGTACTATACACTGATGCTATGTGGTGATTACATGTACTATACACTGATGCTATGTGGTGATTACATGTGCTATACACCGATGCTATGTGGTGATTACATGTACTATACACTGATGCTGTGTGGTGAATACATGTACTATACACTGATGCTATGTGGTGATTACATGTACTATACTCTGATGATGTGTGGTGATTACATGTACTATACACTGATGCTGTGTGGTGAATACATGTACTATACTCTGATGATGTGTGGTGATTACATGTACTATACACTGATGCTATGTGGTGATTACATGTACTATACACTGATGCTGTGTGGTGATTACATGTACTATACACTGATGATGTGTGGTGATTACATGTACTATACACTGATGCTATGTGGTGATTACATGTACTATACACTGATGCTGTGTGGTGAATACATGTACTATACACTGATGCTATGTGGTGATTACATGTACTATACTCTGATGATGTGTGGTGATTACATGTACTATACACTGATGCTGTGTGGTGAATACATGTACTATACTCTGATGATGTGTGGTGATTACATGTACTATACACTGATGCTATGTGGTGATTACATGTACTATACACTGATGCTATGTGGTGATTACATGTACTATACACTGATGCTGTGTGGTGATTACATGTACTATACACTGATGCTATGTGGTGATTACATGTACTATACACTGATGCTGTGTGGTGATTACATGTACTATACACTGATGCTATGTGGTGATTACATGTACTATACACTGATGCTATATGGTGATTACATGTACTATACACTGATGCTGTGTGGTGATTACATGTACTATACACTGATGCTATGTGGTGATTACATGTACTATACACTGATGCTGTATGGTGATCACATGTACTATACACTGATGCTGTGTGGTGATTACATGTACTATACACTGATGCTGTATGGTGATCACATGTACTATACACTGATGCTGTATGGTGATTACATGTACTATACACTGATGCTGTGTGGTGAATACATGTACTATACTCTGATGATGTGTGGTGATTACATGTACTATACACTGATGCTATGTGGTGATTACATGTACTATACACTGATGCTATGTGGTGATTACATGTACTATACACTGATGCTGTGTGGTGATTACATGTACTATACACTGATGCTATGTGGTGATTACATGTACTATACACTGATGCTATATGGTGATTACATGTACTATACACTGATGCTGTGTGGTGATTACATGTACTATACACTGATGCTATGTGGTGATTACATGTACTATACACTGATGCTATGTGGTGATTACATGTACTATACACTGATGCTGTATGGTGATCACATGTACTATACACTGATGCTGTGTGGTGATTACATGTACTATACACTGATGCTGTATGGTGATTACATGTACTATACACCGATGCTGTGTGGTGATTACATGTACTATACACTGATGCTATGTGGTGATTACATGTGCTATACACTGATGATGTGTGGTGAATACATGTACTATACACTGATGCTGTGTGGTGAATACATGTACTATACACTGATGATGTGTGGTGATTACATGTACTATACACTGATGCTGTGTGGTGAATACATGTACTATACTCTGATGATGTGTGGTGATTACATGTACTATACACTGATGCTATGTGGTGATTACATGTACTATACACTGATGCTATGTGGTGATTACATGTACTATACACTGATGCTATGTGGTGATTACATGTACTATACACTGATGCTGTGTGGTGAATACATGTACTATACACTGATGCTATGTGGTGATTACATGTACTATACACTGATTACATGTACTATTCACTGATGCTGTGTGGTGATTACATGTACTATACACTGATGCTATATGGTGATTACATGTACTATACACTGATTACATGTACTATACACTGATGCTATGTGGTGATTACATGTACTATACACTGATGCTGTGTGGTGATTACATGTACTATACTCTGATGATGTGTGGTGATTACATGTACTATACACTGATGCTATGTGGTGATTACATGTACTATACACTGATGCTATGTGGTGATTACATGTACTATACACTGATGCTATGTGGTGATTACATGTACTATACACTGATGCTGTGTGGTGAATACATGTACTATACACTGATGCTATGTGGTGATTACATGTACTATACACTGATTACATGTACTATTCACTGATGCTGTGTGGTGATTACATGTACTATACACTGATGCTATATGGTGATTACATGTACTATACACTGATGCTGTGTGGTGATTAAATGTACTATACACTGATGCTATGTGGTGATTACATGTGCTATACACTGATGCTATGTGGTGATTACATGTGCTATACACCGATGCTATATGGTGATTACATGTACTATACACTGATGCTATGTGGTGATTACATGTACTATACACTGATGCTATGTGGTGATTACATGTACTATACACTGATGCTATGTGGTGATTACATGTACTATACACTGATGCTGTGTGGTGATTACATGTACTGTACACTGATGCTGTGTGGTGATTACATGTACTATACACTGATGCTATTTGGTTATTACATATACTATACACTGATGCTGTGTGGTGATTACATGTGCTATACACTGATGCTATGTGGTGATTACATGTACTATACACTGATGCTGTGTGGTGATTAAATGTACTATACACTGATGATGTGTGGTGATTACATGTACTATACACTGATGCTATGTGGTGATTACATGTGCTATACACTGATGCTATGTGGTGATTACATGTACTATACACTGATGCTATGTGGTGATTACATGTACTATACACTGATGCTGTGTGGTGATTACATGTACTATACACTGATGCTGTGTGGTGATTACATGTGCTATACACTGATGCTATGTGGTGATTACATGTACTATACACTGATGATGTGTGGTGATTACATGTACTATACACTGATGCTGTGTGGTGATTACATGTAATCACAATATATAGTGATTATGTGGTGAGTATATATATAACCTGTATCCCAGCTTCAAAATTAACCCACCATCGGAAACACAGGGGTATAAATGACGCTACCCGGAAGAGTGGATACATGGGTACACAGGGTGGACTCAGTGAAAACAATTTCTGTCTGGTTTTGTTTGTGTGTTTATGGTTTAACGCCGCACTCAGCAATGTTCCAGTTATATGACGGCGGTCTGTAAATAATCGAGTCTAGACCAGACAATCCAGTAAATAACACCACGAGCATCGATCTATGCAACTGGGATACGAAGACATGCATCAACCAAGTAAGCGAGCCTGACCACCCGATCCCGTTAGTCGCCTCTTACGACAAGCATAGTCGCCTGTTACGGCAAGCATTGGTTGCTGAAGACCTATTCTATCCCAGATCTTCACGGGCCTCAAATCCAGTAACAGGAGGGACAAACATATTTGAACAGAATAATTTCCTTGTGGTTAATGTTATAGTTAATGACTGCATCAAGCAAGAACAACTATACTTGTTGGTCTTATATGTCATTTATTGTCACAAAACTAACATAAAGTACAAGTGGATTTTCCAGGAATTTTATATTTGATATGTTGAAATTGCAAAACAGATGTTTCTTTTCACACACTGTCACTCAATTGAACAAACTAGTTCGCCGTTTTTAGGGGTATATTTCTTACTAAGAAAAACACATGGCTCACATTTTACTGTGGAAATATGTAGAACAGGTGGGATTCTATTTTCCAGTTAAAACATATGAAGTTTATATTTGGTACTGAGATTTTTCTGAGAAAGACCCAAAGGTTGGCCATTTCACATGCACTTTAACCTCTTGTGCGCAGCTGGAACTCAGATTTCAAATAATTTGCTTAGCAGATTGAAATGTATACATCGCGTGATCGAATTAGAAATACAGTGACTCTGGATTCCTCAATTAAAAGAGTGTGTGTCGCTAATGGTGACCATAGATATAGTTATATATCTAAGGGGTTCAGGACAATTTGTCAGAGGTGAAAGTAAAGGTCATCTGAAGTCCACAGAGAAGACATTATGTGAAAGGCTGAACTTCCTCATCGATAACATCCATGTGAGTTTTTATAAGACATTAACGCATCCCCATGGGCACCAATTGTGCTCCCCTTCTTGGTGATCTGTTACTGTTATACATATGAATTTGAATTTCTGCTCGGATTGTTAAATCAAAACAAGGAAATTT